TCAAAGTCATATGAAGGCGATAGTCTCCTTTTTGATTCCAAGAGTACTCTTTCTCGTCTCAGGCTACTAATTTCGAGGCCTATTGGTGCTGGTATAGATTAGTGTTCGCGGCCATTTGTGGTTTCGCTTTCGTGTGAACCTATACTAACACACCACCGACACCACAACCACCACCCCCAACCCCAACGACACCCACAACCTATCCTGGCGCAGCACCTCGCTCACGCTACGCTCCCTGCACGGCCTCGCCTCGTCGCTCAACCCCAACGACGGCGTCGAGGTGGCGCCCGTGCAGGCGTGGTTCGAGCTGGTGGGGCGGTTCGGCGCGGAGCGGGTCATGGCGACCGGGGTGCTGGAGCGGCTGAAGCGCGAGTTTGTGGGCGTGGTCAAGTGTTTGCATTATGGGGCGAGTATGGAGAGGGGGGCGTTTGAGAGCGTGGTGGGGAGGGTTTTGGGGGCGGGGTGATGGTGGTGGTGAGGTGAGGAGGTGAGGTGAGGTGAGGTGGGGGATGGGAAGCGGGGGGTGGTGGTTTGCTCTGGGCGCTAGCCAGGAAGTAAGCGCCGCGGGGAAAAAAGGGGGAGGGTTTGTCGTTGGTTGATGCTTCGGCATTGAGGAACCAGCGATGAACATCTGTGTTTCCCCTACTTGACTTTCCAGTGCTCGACCTGACAACAAAAGGGGAATTACGGTGTTTAGGGTTACAGAAGTCAGGGCCAATACCCGACACAACACGAAAGATTGGGAACACCATGCAACTCCATGTTCAGAAATGAGATTTTGAACTTGTTACTCACCGTTGGTGTTCATAATGACGCTTACCGGCGGGGGAAGGCAACCTCAAGGTAGCGGTTATTGACTTGGCAATATTTACTTGTCTCTGAGCATTCAACTCTTACCCCTGAGCAGCTGACTCCAGAGTGAAGCGACACGTCTCGCATGTAACCGCGGTGAGCGAGCGAGGTGTTCTATGCGATTCGCCCTCGGCTTCAGTTCATCTCGACAACACAAATCTCACTGTGACATTGCAGAAGAGATGTGCTGTGTGGCCCGAAGCGTCGAGTAGGCAATATATTGGACACCTCGTCCTACGCTTTGCTGCCTCGGTTGATATTCCGAGATAATCTGCTGACCGAGTCGCATCCTCAGAAGCTACCGCCAGCGCGAGCAATCAAGCAATTTGCACTCGCCCCTTGGTATGAAGTGACAGTGGAAGGATTGGTTCGAAGCATGGAGCGCGGGATGTGGTGGCGTTCGTGGTGCGTGGTGAAAGACCGTCGGTCTGGATGGGCTAACGGTCGGTCCATCGGTTCTTGGTAATGCGGCTGAGGCCGGGTGCTGGCCTGCTTTGGTCTTATTCCCGAACTCGAGCAAGACCAACGGTCGGACGATTTTACAGCCGGACTGACGCGACCCAAACGGCGAGATGTCGCATTGCAGCAGGGTTTTGGGCATTATGCATGAGGTCTCCACCACTTCGCGTTGGCCAAGGTGCGCGGCACGCCAGATCCGACGGGTTCATTGCAAGTTCGGGTCTTGATTGAGGGTTGGCTTGTTGACGCCCGATTTTGAGTTGCGGGTTCAAGGAATCCAGATGAGGCAAGGCGCATTCATGATTCAATAGTGCCGTGTGCGCGATTGGCGCCAGGTGAGCAGGAGAGCCCCGGGATTTTGCTCGTCAGATTTCTGCTGCTGTGTTGTTGAACGTCAGATCGACAGCAAGCGGCCAGTGGGGTGCAGGCAGATACGAGTCGAGATTCTGCAAGCAGGGGGGTCTTCATGTCGAGTGGGACGGGTGGTCAATTGCCCCTCACGCCGCCGTGGGAAGCCTAAGAACTGAAGGATTTGGCCATGATAAAGACCGGTCCTACTACACAGTACTGTGGTGCAATGAGGGGAATTTAGAGTTTTGTGACGCCCAGAACAGCTCACGGGAGTCGATCCGAGATCAGAGCTGGACCACGATGATCTGGCGATCTGTCAATCCTTGACCAACTCTGAAGATCACCCGTGGGGCTAACATGGTGGAGGACCTGGCGGTTCCAGTCACGGAATCGACGAGAAAGGCATCGGATGCCGACCTGAAAACCCTTGAATTCGACCGAACACCGTCCGGCAGCCGGCGCATCCACACAGTGGCGAACGGGGAATGCGTCCGGTGTGGGGGAAAAGGCTCGGTGGCTCGTTCGATTCGATGCACAGAAAGATGGACATGCCAGCGTGCTCACCCGGTGGAGAGCGCCCAAAAATAGGGCTCTTTCAACACGTGTCGCCCATGCCTTCTTGGACATTGGACATGTCTTCCTGGATAATTACCTAGTTAAAATGTTTTGGCAAGCCGCAAACATCGGGGGAGCCGGGAAGGCCGGTAAGGGTGCCAGGTATGGAATGGAAGATCGGGTTTGTTGTTCCATTTTTCTTTTTGTGTTAGGAAAAGAGCAACACCAAAAGCTGATATTCCGTGCCTTCTCACACTACAGAGGTTGGTTGGTTCTCTTGATTATTCTTGCCTCTGTCAATCTTGTTGGAACCCATCTCGGGCAAGCGCGGCGTTGCGGGAACAGACCGGCCAAGCCCCGCGCTGTCCTTTTTCGTGCATTCAGCTCATGCTTTGTGAAATTCTCGAACCATCCCCCAACCAATGAACAACCACCACAGTTGGGGGATGAATTCTCGTTGCTCCAAAAGTGCCCACCAGCAGACGGCTCTCTTCGACTTCCCTTATTTCGCTGATGGATCCGGACCATCAATTCTGAGTTGTCCGTTCGGCCCAATAGTTGGCCCCGAAGCGGGGATCACACATTCAATAATCAGTCAATCTTGGATGGGGGACGAGACAACCACCATTCAGTGCATCGATGGTCAATTGACGTCGCTGCTCACTTCTCGTATTAATCATGGATGTGCAGCCACAAGCCTGGTGTCACAAGCCGTCCATGCAGTCACCTTTTCCAACGGATGCCGCATTGGCCAACTCGTCCGAACCATCGCCGACAAGCAGGGGCCAAGACAGACTCGGCAGTCCCCACAGCAAGGGATTTGCGGTTCCTGGATCCTGGATGGGGCACGAGAGCGAGCCCGATCTGGACTTGCATCTTGGCGCCTTCATCTCCACATCAGGCCGTTCAGCCTTAGCTGGCTATCTGTCGGTCAACCAGGGCCATGACGGACAGCTTGTGAACCAAAGCACAGATCGACATACTGTGGACGGCGACTGTCCGGGCATCGAGATGGAACCGTTGTGAAGTCACTAAAGCCAAGAAGATGGATGGTTGTTGCTGCCAGATCCACGAAGCCACCGATGTCTGCATCTCGCACGGCCGGCGCCAGATTATTCCAGCCGGAGCCACCCTCGTCATTTCTTCAAGCGCCCCAAGGCCGCGCGCCAGAGAAAAACCCAGGGGCGAGACTGCGAAATCGACGGAGGCACGAAGTAACCCACTCGCTTTGATATTCAGAGGGCGGCTGTCGTGGCGGGCACTGGATGTAAATTACGGGTGATGCGGATGAGCTGCACGGTTCGATGCCCTGAGGATCCCTGCCGTTGCTCCCTCGCACAACCCCCTGCAATCGTGGACACCGCCGCCCTATCCAGACTCGTCCCACTCCTCTCGCTTCTTCCCTTGGCCAGACGACCCAAACCCATTCCGCTCTGGGCTTGCTTGGCCACTCGCGCGGCCCTTGGACCGCTAGTTCGGTGGGGCTTCCCCCTGTCCGTCCCGTTCCCAGAGAACAGGAAGAGCGCCCGTCGTTCTCGGGCGTGTCACCCATCGCGGGCTCGGCACGGCGGACCCGCCTCGTGGCTGAGAGAGAGTGTGTATATTTTGAAATGTCACCCCCCACATTCGCTCCTCGCTTCCTCTTTGACTCTGCTTTGCCTTGACCCTGACGCTCGTTTGTCCTGTCCTGTTTGTTGGTGTCGGCGCCCGGTCTTCGGACGCAACAGTCTTCATCATGAAGGCCTCACCGTCAAGGACGGTCTTTTCGTCCCTCCTCCTGTCATCCGTAAGGGTTCTCCGGACATAGAATTAGCCCCATTCGATGTCTATAGGCCGAAGACGAATTATGTTGCTGACCTGCCCGATAGCTCCCACTCTCGCTTGCCCAACTCGCCATTCCCGAGGAACTTCCGGGAGCCTGGAGTTACGAAGGATGTTATACCGATGTGCCCGGCCGGACTATCAATAGCGCCTCCTATGCCGATGGCGAGGACATGACGACCGAGTCCTGTCTCGCGTTTTGCTCTTCCAAGGGTTTCCCGTATGCCGGGACAGAGTACTCGGTAGAATGCTTCTGCGGCAGCAGCCTTGCGGCCGGCGCGGCCAAGGTTGCTGATTCGACCTGCAACATGGCTTGCTCAGGAGATGCTGCTCAGCCTTGCGGAGCTGGGGGCCACCTCTCGCTCTTCCACACCACCGAAGTATCCGGACCAGCAGCAAACCCGGGCGTCAACGACTACAACCACATGGGCTGTTATACCGAGGGAAAGACTGGCCGCGCGCTTACCTACGGCGCCGGCCTCGCAAGTGCTGACTTGACCGTTAGCCAAGTGCACGGCTGCCTGCCGCGCGGCCAACTACATTCTCGCCGGTGTTGAGTATGGCGGAGAATGCTGTAAGTCGTGTTGTGGTCCATGGTTTGGGGCGAGCTTGGGCTGATCTCGACAGATTGCGGCAACAGTATCGCGAACGGCGCTATTCCGGCCACCAGCGGCTGCAGTATGGTCTGCAATGGCGACAGCAGCGAGTTCTGCGGTGGCCCAGACCGTCTCAATGTGTACAACTACCAGGATCAGTACAACCCGACCGCGACCTCGACAGCCCCTCCGTGAGCCCCCCCGCGCATGAATAACTCCTGTACCGGGGCATCTACTAACAAAGTGTAGGGCCCCTACTGGCGGCGGAGGCAACCCCGGCCCGGCGGCCGGGCCGTCTCAGCCCGAGACGATTGCCAACTACGACTGGTACGGATGCCGGACTGAGGCGACAGGCACGCGCGCCCTGAGTGCTGCCACTTTCGCTTCTGACGACATGACGCTCGAGGCCTGCCAGGCGTTCTGCTCCGCTTACACCTACTTCGGCGTCGAGTACGGGCGCGAATGCTACTGCGGCAACAGCTTCAATGCCGGTTCTGTGGCCGCCTCTGCGAGCGACTGCAGCATGACTTGCCCGGGCGACGCCGACCAGTACTGTGGTGCTGGCAATCGCCTGTCTGTCTACGCTAGGACGGCACTGCGCCACCTCTGAGCTCACAGAGCCCGCCGGGTCGACGTCGAGCTCTCCGCCTCCCGTCGTCACCGGTATCCCCGAGGGATGGTCTTACCAGATGCTGGATTGATGGAAAGCAGGACGTATCTCTCCGTATCAGGTTTCCGACAGCCAGAACCAACAGCCAGTCGGCTTGGGTCAGCGCCTGCGCTGCGGCTGGCTACAGCATTTCCGGCGCTGAGTATGGGGTGCAGTGCTTCTGCGGCAACGCCATCTACAACGGCGGCGTCAAGACCGCCGAATCGGACTGCAGCACGGCTTGCCCAGGCGCGCCGAGCCAGAAGTGCGGTGCTGGTGACCGTCTAAGCATTGTCTCCAACGGCACCCCCGAAATCTACGCTCCCCCGGCTCCGCAGCAGACCGTCGGCGACTGGGTCTACCAGGGCTGCGCCGTGGATAACATCAACGACAAGCGGACTTTCTACTGGCAGATATTTTTCCCTGGTGTCATGACGCCCAAGATGTGCCTGGACCGCTGTGCCGAGTTCGGTTACCACGCCGCCGGCCTCGAGTACGGTGAGGAATGCTACTGCGGTGACCCGGCCAACATGGCTGCCCGTGGCTCCACCTTCCGCCCGGAGTCCGAGTGTGCCATCCCCTGCGTCGGCAACGCGTCGGCCATCTGCGGTGGCCTTGCCCGCCTCACGACCTACTTCTGGACTGGCACTCCGTTTTACACGTGGGACTTCCCTACGGATTACCGTGCCGGCGAGTATCGGTTCTTGGTCGACGGCGTCAACATCCCGCTCATCACTCAGGAGACCATCACCGGCAAGGTCTCGTTCATTTCCAAGGGCGCGACAGGCCCCGGAAACGAGACGGGCGCCTATGAGTTCGACCCCTCCACGCTGACTTTCCGCACGCTCCACATCAAGACCGATGTCTTCTGCGCCGCCGGTGTGACCCTGCCCGACAAGGGCGGTCGCCAGCTCAACATCGGTGGCTGGGCCGGTGATGCCACCTACGGCACTCGCCTGTACTGGCCTGATGGCTCGCCCGGCGTCCCCGGCACCCACGATTGGCAGGAGAATGTCAACGTGCTCAAGCTCCAGGCCGGCCGCTGGTATCCCAGTGCCATGATCATGGCCAACGGCTCCGTCATGGTCATCGGCGGCTCTATCGGCTCCAATGACGCTGCTACTCCTTCCATCGAGATTTTGCCCTACACCGGACAGGCGCCGCTCTACATGGACTGGCTGGACCGCACCCACCCCAACAACCTGTACCCCTTCCTCTGCGTCCTGCCTGGCGGCGGCATCTTCGTTCAGTACTGGAACGAGGCGAGAATCCTCGACCCCGTTACTTTCGCGACTATCAAGGAGCTGCCCAACGCGCCCGGCGCCCCCAATGATCCCAAGGGTGGCCGCACATATCCCCTCGAGGGCGCCGCGGTGCTCCTGCCCCAGAAGTACCCCTACACCGACCCTCTCGGTTTCTTAGTCTGTGGCGGCTCGACCGAGGGCCCCGGTAACGCGCTCGACAACTGCGTGTCCATCTATCCCGAGGCGGCGAACCCAAAGTGGGAGATCGAGCGCCTGCCGTCGTTCCGTGTCATGTCCTGCATGGCCCCGCTGCCCGACGGCACTTACCTGATCGCCAACGGCGCGCTCCACGGCGTAGCCGGCTTCGGCCTCGGCGTCGGCCCCAACCTCAACGCGCTCATCTACAACCCGGAGAAGCCGCTCGGCTCGCGCATCACGGTCGCGGCCAACACGACGATCGCGCGCATGTACCACTCGGAGGCCATCACGCTCCTCGACGGTCGCGTCCTCATCTCGGGCTCCAACCCGGAGGACGGCGTCAACCCGGAGGAGTACCGGGTCGAGGTGTTCATGCCGCCGTACCTCCTCAGCGGCAAGCCGCGGCCGACCTTCACCATCGCCAACAAAGACTGGGCGTGGGGCCAGACGGGCATCCCCTTCACGCTGGGGGCGGCGGCGCGCAACGGCGCCATCACCGCCACCCTCCTGGGCTCCGTGTCCAGCACGCACGGCAACTCGATGGGCGCGCGCACCCTCATGCCCCGCGTCTCGTGCACCGGCACCTCGTGCACCGTCGACGCCCCAACCACGGCCAACATCGCGCCCCCCGGCTGGTACCAGTTCTTTGTGCTGGACGGCGGCGTGCCCGCGGTCGGTGTCTATGTGCGCATCGGCGGCGACCCGGCCCAGATCGGTAACTGGCCGCAGGGCCCTGACTTTACTACCCCGGGTGTTTAAGAGACGGGGGAGGGGGAAGAGGGCATGATGATGTATGTCTCTTGTCTTGAAAGAAAGTTGAGCTCTGCGTCTCGCGTCGTCATGATGGGTGGTGTCTTTTGTTTCTCTACTTATCTGATTGAGATGATGTCGAACTGCAGCGCGTCTATTTGGTAATTTGTTTTTTTGAATATATATACACCTTAATCGCTGGCCTGTGCTTGGGCCAAACACATATCACCCCCTTTTCCCACATTTCCCTGCAGTCCCGTCGTCGGTGCCATCGAAGTTGAATGGATTTGGATCAATCTCATTTGCAATCGCTCAAAACCCAACACTGCTCTCGGGGAATCTTTGTTTTTGTCTGACCCAAGACCAGCTCACTAACTACCTAGCCTGCCTGCCCGAGTGCTTCTTCTACCTCCCTGGCATACCTAGGTAAGTAGGGTGATGTTGCGAGGGAGAGCAGAACCACACGACAGGTGCAGCACATCTTCTAGACCTTGTGAACAATGTTCGTTATGCGGCGGGCGTTCCTGCTTAGTGAGATGGTTTGAAAAGACTCGATTGGCCGATTCGCTCGGAACCTGTTCTGAGCTTGTCTTCACTGGCTGATTGATCGGGAACATGCTACCTGCCACAAAACCAAAACAGCTGGGAAGTCTTCATTCAATAATTCTATGCCTACCTATGTATTTAAACCTTTCTCGCTACGTTCCCACCTCCAGTTTCAGGAAGGAATCAATGCACGCCACATACACCACACACACCACACGGCACACTGCTTGACAGGTACCGAATATCCACAACGTCCCCAACATCAAGGCCGATTATAAGATGGCGAACTTACTCCCCGTTCCAGTCGAGAACTTTCTTATGATTCTAGATGAGTTTCCTCAATCGTCACTCATATCATCCGATCGGACTTGCAAAGGGGCGTGGGCCGCCGTCGAACCGCTACTCTATCGCAGCATCACCTTCGAGTTCACGAAATACAAGTGGTATAATACCATTCAGCCGGTCCCGCTAGAGGATCCGATACACTCTTTTTTCTGAGCCATTCGCCAACGACCAGCTCGAGCTAGTTATGTCAAGGCTGCCACATTCCTCAGTCTCCCTGAGCTCATTACCCGCAGCGAACCCCCGCCCTCCGATGTAAGATCTTTATGGTTAGAAACGTTGGATACCCTCGATCGAAACGGTACATGGGCAAAGACTTCGACAATCCGGGGTCATGTCGATGAAGGAGAGCTCTATGGTTTTCTGCCGATTCTCTTGGCCTTCCTTCCCGAACTCGAGACACTGGTAAAGGATCATTTGATGACGCCGTCATGGGACATCTCTTGATGCTAAAAAAAGTCGTTATCCGGAACAATGTCAACTGGGACATATGCCCCACGTCTGGCTCCAGTGGGCCAAATCTCGTTTGCCTTCCTCGCCTCGAGCACCTTTCGACCGTCTTCTCACACGTCCGTGGCGAGTTGGTCGCTAACGCCAACCTCCCAGCCCTTCGGACGCTCGAACTAACGGATCATGTTTCAGACCCGTCAACTACCAAGGAGCTGCTTGCTAAAACACCCAAACTGGAGCGTTTCAGCTATTTTTTGGTCGAGGACACAGACTCTCTCCTGTGGAGCGATGTCGACGACACAGCACATGAGGATGAGTGGTCCGCCTTTGCCACGAACTTGGGCGGCGTTGCCGCAACGCTAAGGGTACTAAAGATATACGTCGATTCCAAGCCGCCTGATTACCCAGAGAGATTTGAGGACCCGGAGACCGGTGCGTGGGCGAAAAATGCCTCGAACCGTCGAGGGGCCATCGGTTCTCTCACACACCTGCACAACCTGACTAAACTGGAAATACCCATGCATGTACTCTTCGGCTATCGCCCACACGGCACCAGGCTTCGGCACATACTGCCACCTAGCCTGAGAAAGCTCTACCTACGCGACGACTTCGCCTACTCGGGGGATATATATGATGCCCCTCCCAAATTAGTTATTCCAGCCTTGCAGTCATACCTCCTCGAGTCCGAGCCCGACGGCAAGGTGCTCTCCCTGCAAGAACTCCACTTCAAACTGAGAACAAGCGACATGGAAGATGGACTACAAATCGACGAGCAGCATCCCCTTAGGCGTCTGGAGAGCGTTGCTCGGCAAGCGGGGGTGAGATGCACGGTACGCTTCCGCGTGGAGCACGCAGCTTCCTGTCCCCCGAGTATGAGTGTATTATGTGGATGAAATGGTTTTGTATGACCCTAACGCCGTTTTCCCGGCTGGCGGGACGACCGAAACCGTCATGGATTCGACTCGTTACCCCACGAGGCATCGGTTGAAGAGAGCAGGATATCGCTTCTTCTCCTCGTTCGACGGGCCACTTCGATACTCGTAGCTATTCTATATCAATCATTTTCCTTAACACCTACCTAACAACCCAAAGACCTGTTTGTTTATAATCAACCCAACTCCCGCCGGGCCATCTGCATCCGCTTCCTGTTCCGCTGCTCCAGCAGCATCAACTGTGCCTGATATTCCCGGGCTTCCTGGCTCTGGTCGGTCAGCACCGGTTCGCGGCCCTCCTTGTCCCGTGCATGCTTGTCGGCACCCCTCTGGAGGAGCAGCGCTCCGGCCGTCGGGCTGGCCACGTGCAGCAGCGTCCGGCCTTCGTGATCCCGCGCTTCCGTGTCGGCCCCCTTGTCGAGAAGCAGCTCCGCGACGATGCTGTCCATGGCCGTGGCGACGATGTGCAGTGGCGTCTGCCCGTCCTCGTCGGCGGCCTCCGTGTTGGCGCCGCTGTCGATCAGCAGCCGGGTGATGGCCGCGTTGTTGGTTGCCGAGGCGGTGTGGAGCGGTGTTTGGTGTTTGTCGTTCACTGCGTCTTGATCGGCGCCGTAGTCTAGAAGCAGCGTTATAACGGCCTCATCCTCGCGTGAGGCGGCGATATGTAGTAGTGTTGATCCCTGATGGTCCGCGGCGTTCTTGTTGGCGCCGCTTTCCAGCAGAAGGCTGGCGATGGCCTCCTGCTTTTGAGCAGCAGCTGCATAGACCGGTGTTAACCCATCCATGTCTGCCGCGTCCATGTTGGCGCCATTAGCGATGAGCAGCCGTACGATACCCTCCTCCCCATTTGCAGCGGCAACGTGTAGTGCTGTTCCGCCTCTCATATCCCCCAGGTTCACATCTGCAAGACTGCGGATCAGCAGCTTTGCGAGCTCGTCGTCGCCTGCTAGGGCCGCTATGTGTAACGGTGACCGTCCAAGTTCATCCTTCGCCTCGTACTGGGCTGTCCTGTAGAATTCGCCATCCTCTGGGAACATATTCGCCGGTTGGAGGAGCCAATACCATGCGTCACTCGTCTGTTTCCAGTGATTAATTCTCGCTAGCTGCTCGGCGTGTTGTTTCACGAGCGTAACGACCTCCTTCGGCTCGGGGAGCAGCTTCTCGGCGCTGAATGGCGGGATGATGCTCAGGTAGATCTGATCTAGACTTCCGAGTCCCGTATTTCGAATCTCCTGAGCCATGGTTGACAGATGCCTGTCCCAGAGTGTGAAACTCCCTCGAGTGTTGCTGTTGCCGGTGTCGTCGGTTCGTAATTCCGTGATGCGCTCGCCCGGCCTCTTTGCTACCTCCTTTGCCACAGCCCACATGAATTCTGAGAACATGGCGTGAGCATACAGCGACATGATGGGCTCATGGGCTTCTACCGCCAAGCAGAGTTCCGGATCAGAGTCAACGTCACTGTGTAGTGATGATGCCTTGCAATCGATATCCGGCCATTCCTCCCCATCCTGAACTGTCTTGGCTGTCTCAGCTGTCTCGGCTGTCTCGGCTGTCGCGGCTGTGTCGCCATCGGTGATCCCATACCCAATGAGTCTATAACTATTCACATTGTAGTGCATGTTCCACACCTTATTCCACAACATAAACCAGCCTGCCTTGACTAGTTCATTCCTGCGGATGGACGGGTTCATCTTGTTGTAAGAAAGTACCCGGTAACTAAGTGGCCGTCAATATTTTCACTTTTTGCCCGCACGGTTCAAGAATATCAACCCCCCGAAAGCAATCACTCGGTAGACTGTGCCAATAACCAACAGTATGCTGCCGTCAGACCTCAGATTAGCCCGAATGCCCGTTGAGATCAGCCATAAGTATTAAAGTATATGTAACTCACCCAATGTCCATGCTGAAACGACCCTGTACATAACATGTCCAACTGGCAGCAAGGTCCAGATCGTACAAGTGGCTCATGATAGCCAAGTATTTATCAAAGTAGACCTCGGTCAACCATACCTGAGGAACAAGAAGCGACTGTTAGCACCGAACCTGCATGCTCATGCCCCATGTAACTAAACCCAACTCACCCCGGGGCACAACCGCCACAGCCACTCAAGATGCCACTCCTTGACCAGGTACAGCGGTGGGCCATACCCCCCCCAGACACCAATAATCAGACTGATAATCATAGCCATCAGGGGCCCATCCTCGCGGCGCACAAGCATGGACATGATGGAAGCCAGGCCGTAGATGCAGTAAAATTACAGTAGTTTGGACAGGAGCATGCTCCAGAAGTGCATCCACGGCGTGGCCAGCACGCAGTAGAAGGTGGTGAAGTGCATGGCCGAGTTGGCCAGCCGCGGGAACGTCGCCAGCACCTTGCCCACGTAGTACGCCAGCCGCGAGTGCCCGGAGTTCACCTCGCGCCAGTAGATCTGCTCTGGAAAGTCAAACATATTAGTGGGCAGGCACTCATCATGAACCCCTGAGTCGACAGCAAAACCAAAAAAAAAGAAAAGAAAAACGCACTCTCCTCCCCAAAAGTCTTCACCCCCGGCGCGGCCGCCGCCAGGCCAATCTGGGGCACGAGCGTGTAGTTGAGCGCGCTCGACAGGAAGGGCTAGCGGCGCGTGGTAGGCGCCCTGGAAGTGGGTGCCCCTGTAGCTGCTGGGTACAGCGACAGCCCGATCAGCAGGCCGGCCACGGCCCCCCCCAAGATCTCCATCAGAAAGCTTGTCTTGCGCGCCCATTGCTGCTTGAGGGAGCGCGTGGAAGCAGAGGCGGCTCTGCTGGAGTTGGGAGGCGCCGCGGTTGGTGGGGGAGGTGGTTAGGGCGAGGAGGTTGTTGGGTATGTGTTGTTGTAGTTGTGCCTTTTCGCGGTCGAAGTCTGCGGTGAGCCTGAGTGCTGTGGACGCCAATGTCGAGGAGATCATCAAGGGTTGGTGTGGTTCCTTTGGCCCCTGGTGCGGTTGCGCTGCCGTGGCCTGAGATAATATCCAGCACGGCGTCGGCCAGGGTGGACTTCTCCGACAGCCCAAAGCCCATCTCGGAGAAGTGGTTCGTCAGCCCGGCAACACCGCCGTGGTAAATTTGGTGACCCCTGTGTAGCACCGTCAACCCATCAAGAAGATCCAAAACCTCAGGCCTCGGCTGGTGGATGATACACATGACAGTCACTCCCAGAGTGGACAACCTCTTTAACAACGCCATAATTGCCAGCGCAGCACTGACATCCAAACCACTGGTCGGCTCATTGAGGAAGAGAGCCATCGGCGCGGCGGCGAGCTCGAGGCCGATACTAACGCGCTTGCGCTGGCCGCCCGAGATAGAAGAAGCGAGGGAGGTCATGTTGGACACGATGGACAAGGCCAAGACGGATATTCTGGACTTTGATTCGGTGGAGTTGTTGTAGAGAAGTGAAGGGCCATCACGCGAGTATGGTGGATGCGGTGGACGTGGAAGGTTGATCAAGGACGTCAAGCTATGGGTAGGGATGGAAACTACGATACTAATCAGACTGAGACAGAGAGGGCCGGTAAATTGGTGATGTTTATTGGAGGCATACAGTTGAGGGGGGTTGAATATCAAGGTGGCTTTCGACGACGGTTGAACGGTACATGTAATCTCATTGCAAACCATATAAGGCAACCCAAGTAAATTGGCTGAGTCAAAGTTTCAAGATAGTAGATAGGCTCTAGGATACCTTTTCTTCGTGACGCTCACCCCCTTATTACTTCTATTTAACAAAACCCCAATCAACCGCTCGTCTCCTTCACATCCTCCCGGCCCAAGGGAGTCAACCCGGGGCGGAATGGGCGCTTCAGACCCTCAGCCTTCTCACGGTTGACCTTCCACACCCCCTTTGTCTCATCGGCATAAGTCTGCCAGCCCACGGCAGGCCCAAGCCGCTCGAACTCCTCGTACCGCCGAGACAGCGGAGCAAACAGGAGCGGTTCCCACTTCGTGTTGCCGCTCTCCTTTTCCGCCGCTCGCATCAGCCGCTGCGCCTTCTCCACCTTTGATTTTTCCGTCACGGCATCGCCAAAATCACCACGTCGCAGAGCCGCCATCACACCCTGCCACGCCGCCTCGACTCTCAGGGGTCCTGCTCCTCTACCGGTTCGACGGTCGCCTCAACCACGGCATTCTCGGGCCGGGACGGGTCCCACACCTCGACCACGTCCCCGGTCCCACCCTTCAAAATGGTGAACTTATCGCTCCAGCAGCCCGAGATTGTCACGGTTATGGTCGCGTACCACGCCCCGATGAGGGCACGCGCGGGAAGCGTTCCCAGCCAATCATTAAGAATGGGTCTCAGACCAATCAGCAGAGGAACGAAGGGAACGGCTACCGTTCCCAGGATCCAGTCTGGAACGAGAGGAACGATCACCGTTCCTCACGTTCCCAGCAAAAGGTACGCCGGTACCTAGGAAGCCTAGATAGTATATAGTCACCCGTTCTGGAGAGCTCTGGGAGTTCTCCAGTTAGCAATCACAACTACAGTTCGCTACAAGCTCGAAAGCCTACTGTTGAGACAAGTCTTTGTTGTGCACCCTTTGGCTGCACCGAACCTAAGCACCCTCGAAGAGATTACCTTCAACCGAAGCTGAACCCTAACAGGACAGGGTCCTGAAGTAGGTTCGTCACAGAGATGGTGTAGAGCGGTGTCTTGGCCGGGTCGTCGCGCCGGTACATGGTGGCCTTGACGGCGTTCCTCTGCCCCGTGCCCAGCAGCGAGGTGCCCGAGAAGACAATCTCGGACACGAACCCGGACGACGAGACGATGTGGTAGGTCCCGTTCAGCTCCGGGAACATGCTGCCGGACATGAAGCCCTTCACGCTGCAGTGCGGTAGGAAGATCAGGTGCTCCTCGCTGTACTTGTCGATGTGGAGCATGGCGTGCCCCGTCTGTCGGATGCTGACGCCGCCCGAGTAGGTCATCTCGACGCGGGAGTAGCCCTCGCCGTGGATGCCGTGCTCCGCATCCCACATGTAGACGGCCGTGATGGGCGGGTGGTGGGAGACTTGCTCCGACACGAGGTTGGCGGTGGCGCGGCCGTCGGTCCATTGCGCACGGAAGATCTCGCCCAGGAAGGCGTTCAGGGGCTTCTTGATGCTGCGGCCGGGGGCGCCGTCGACGTAGAGCTGGTGCTTGAGGCTGGTGAGGATCCATTTGAGCACGAGAAGGGCGCGCAGTTCCGGATCGGGCTCCAGAGCGGGTGCTGCGAACAATGACGGCCGCTCAACCCAGCAAGTTCCGAGTTCGGTCACAGAGGAGGGAGCGAGGAAATAAGGGGGTGCCGCGATATTGGCGAGGTCACCTTTAACGGACCCGAGGAACTGTAATTTCAATCAGGATTTATTATTCAAAACAGGAGAACGAGATAGTGGATAATATCATGCCGTGCCTTGAGAAAATCCCTGAGTTTAGAAATTGTGGTCATGTTGGAGAGGTTTGATTGCTCTGATATTTTACTGCTTCAGTCTTTCTTCAACATTTATACGAGCGGCGAGGACGGGAGGAGAGAGGTTGAATGTGGGCTTCAAAAAATCACACGAATCGAGCGAGTTCAAGTGGTTATTCAACTTACGACGCGTGCGCTGACAAGAAGAGCTGCAAAAGGGGCTGATGTGCCAAGTCTATCACCGCATGAGGAAAGCTTGTAATTGCATAGGAACTGGACAACCGCTTCAATACTGTGCGATATGTACACGTAAATCATGTACATATACAGACATGCTACCCTTCAACCAACCGGCCAACACCCCCTTTATGGACTATACCCGGTCACTTCTCGCGTTTGCCAAGCCTGGGAATCATCCTTTCCGGATTACTGCTCTCCAATCACAATCACATGAAGAGCACGGTCAATGAAATATGCACGGTTCTGATATTCGAGAAAGTCCCTTCTTGCAACCCCCCGAGAACAACAATCAAGAAAGAAGAGGATGGGGAAGCAATCTCGTCTCCCCGCGACCGACCTCACCCGCTGGCGCCTTCACAGCCACGAAGGAGACCATGAATGGCGATACCTCGATGCCGCCGAAGCCTCCGACGGCAGCACGCGACCACAGACTTTCGCCGAGCGATACCTCTTGGGGCTGACATCGCCATCAACACCACCCCTCAAACCAACCGCATCACCAACCAAACCTGAATCAACCCCCACACCCACATCCCACTACAATGACACCAACCCCCCCAACCCCTTTCACCACCCCCGCCCTCCACGGCTTCCACTTCCTCACCCACCTACAACTCCCCGAAGGGCACTGGGCATGCGACTACGGCGGCCCGAGCTTCCTGCTCCCCGGGCTGGTCTTCGCCATGTACATAACCGGGACGCCGGTGCCCTCGCCGTGGCGCATCGAGATGACGCGGTACCTGGCGCGGCGGGCCAACGCCGACGGCGGGTGGGGGCTGCACCTCGAGGGCCGGTCGACCGTGTTCGCGACGGGGCTGTATTATGTCATGCTGAGGCTGTTGAGGGTGGGGAAGGGGGAGCGGTTGGTGGTGAGGGCGAGGGAGTGTTTGGTGCGGTTGGGGGGCGCGACCGGGCTGCCGCAGTGGGGGAAGATTTGGTTGGCGTGTTTGGGCTTGTATGAGTGGGAGGGGGTGAATTGCGTGCCGGTGGATCTTTGGTATGTATAATGTATATGTAGGGGCGGCGGATGGTGAGGGCACGCACGTACGCGCGCATGGTGCGCTGACTGACTTCATGCCTAGGCTTCTTCCTTCCTGGCTCCCGTTCCACCCTTCGCGGTGGTGGGTACAATGCCGCGTGGTGTATCTCCCCACCTCATACCTCTGGTCCAACCGCTGCACGGCGCCCCTGGATGACCTACTCGCCGAGATCCGCGAGGAGATCTACACCACCCCCTACTCCGCCGTTGACTTCAGCCGGCACCGCCACACGGCCGCCCCCTCCGACACCATCCGCTCCGTGTCCGGCCTGCTCATCTTCCTCTTCTCCATCCTCGCCTTCTGGTGCAACTACCTCCGCCCCCAGTGGCTCCTCCGACTAGCCAACCGCCGCGTAGGCGAGCTGATGCGGCGCGAGGAGCGCAACACCGACTACAACTGCCTGGCCCCCGTCAACAAGGCCTTCCACATGGTGTGCGCGCTGTACGAGGACGGACCGGACTCGGAACGCCTGCGCCGCCACCGCGACCGCCTCGCCGTCTACCTCTGGCTGGGGCCCGACGGCATGACCAGCGGTGGCACCAACGGCGTGCAGCTGTGGGACACGGCCTTCGCGGTGCAGGCCGCCGTCGAGGCCGGGCTCACCTCCGACCCCACCGTGCGCGCCTCGCTGGCCAAAGCGCACCACTTCCTCGACATCACGCAACTGCGCGACGACCTGGCCGACGACCCCTTCCGGCAGGGGCGGAAAGGCGGGTGGCCGTTCAGCACGCGCAGCAACGGCTACGTGGTGTCGGACTGCGCGGCGGAGGGGCTCAAGGCAGTGCTGATGCTGCAGAAGGAGTGCGGGTTCGCGGCGTTGGTCAGCGACGCGCGCCTGGCCGACTGCGTCGACACGCTGCTGCGCATGCAGAACGCCGACGGCGGCTTCGGCAGCTACGAGCGCACGCGCGGCTCGCCGCTGCTCGAGTACCTCAACCCGGCCGAGGTCTTTGACGACATCATGATCGAGTACTCGTACGTCGAGTGCACCACCGCCGTGCTGACCGCGCTGGCTCGTTTCCGCGCCCATGTGCCCGGCCACCGGGCCCGTGATATCGAGGAGGCCATGCGCCGCGCCGTGGGGTTTGTGGCCGCGCGCCAGCGGCCTGACGGCGCGTGGTACGGCTCGTGGGCCATCTGCTTCACGTACGCGACCTTTTTTGCTGTGCAGGCTTTCGAGGCGCGCGGGCTGCAGTATGGTTCGAGTGAGGAGGTGCGCAGGGCGTGTGCCTTTTTGCTGGCCAAGCAGCGCGACGACGGCGGCTGGGGCGAGCACTACTTGTCGTGCGTCGAGAAGCGTTACATCGAGCACGAGACCAGCCAGGTCGTCAATACCGCGTGGGCTGTCATGGCGCTGATGCATGCTGGGTATCCTGATCCAGAGCCGGTTGAGCGGGGGCTGAAGGTGCGTACTGCGTTTCGTTCTTTTTCTTCTGTTCTTCTTTTTCCATCTCTTTCTCTCTCGCCCCCCCCGCCCCTCCTCTATCCGTCTTTGCCGTCCCCTGTTAACGCCATGATAGCTCATCGCCGACCGCCAGCAACCCAGTGGCGAGTGGCTCCAAGAGGGCGTCGAGGGTGTCTTCAATAGAACCTGGTAAGTTCTGCCCCCGTCAATGACCAAGCAACCAATGTCTGACGTTTTTGTACCTTCCTTCCCAGCATGATCGGCTACCCCAACTACAAATTATACTTTACGGTGATGGCGCTAGGCATGTTTTCCCGCATGTATCTTCCGAAAATAAAGAATCGAGCTTAGAGCTGGAAGCCAGGAGCTGGTCTGTACCATGTCACGGTTTTTCTTCTATCGTATTAATCCCCATTCCTGACTTGGAAAGAGATATATGGGACTTCGGGTTTTGACAGCCCAAAGTTTTGATGGCTGGGATAACGAGGGCCCAAAAAAAGAGGAAAAAGAAAAGGGGGCCTTTTAGTTGCTCGATTTTCGACGAAGTACCTACCTTACCTGTTAGTAGGTGAAACTGCCTCCAACGGCAATGTGATCAAGATGAGAGGGCTGTATTTACAATACACCATTACGACGTACCTGATCTCCTAAATGCCCAGGCGAAGATGGAAAAAAACCGAGAGGAAGGAGCTCAAAATGCAGGTCGGTGGTTTCTCGGCCAACCATCTGCAATCGCTCAATATTCTTGGCAACCTGCCAAGCTTGAGATAGTGAGTTAACTAGTTAGTTATCGCAATCCACATTGCTGACCAAGCAGAAATCAGGGAGGTTCGGGAGGGAACGAGCACCACGCCGCAAAATCGCCCCCATTGATGTCATGATGCCTTGTTCCCATAGCGGGTCTTCACCGCCTTTAAGCCCAAAACCGGCTGCGCAGCTGAACCACGAAACGATGCGTGCACACCTTGTGTTTACAACTCGCGACAACAGGCCGAGCTGGAGCTTCTTTTGTGAGACTGACGCTCATATTGATCTACCTAGCGCCGCAATTTATGCAGCAATGTTGTTCAGATCTAAGCTTGCGTATCTGGTTGAGTTGCCGCTGGGTCAACCAAACCAAAGAAAAATCATGCCGGCCGCCGCTCCAACCCCTCCATCGAAACCCGAACCGATGGTCTCCCTCCTCCCCCAATACCAAGCGTGATCCCCGATGCCCGTCCCAAATGCCCGTAGTGCCATTTGCGCGTGCTTCAGAAGATGTGTCTTATCCTTTCATAACGGGCATTACCAATCCTGAACCACACCGAATGTACTCGATCGAGTTGTTTTGCTACGGAAGCGCTCAAATGTCATCGTCATCATCCGGAAGGGGCGCATTGGCCGCCTCTTGCATCTCCGCCTGGTACTGCTGGATAAGCGCCTCGTCGACTGTCGCTGTGGCGGGGGCCAGCGCAGGAGCGGCAACGAACTCCTGAATACATCATCAGTCTCCATTCTGAGTGACTCTGAGAGTGAGGATGCGAAAATAAAACTTACCAGACCGGGGTTGCCAACAAGCTTGCGGGCCAGCCAGAGGAAAGGTTTCTCGAAGTTGTAGTTTGATTTGGCCGAAATATCGTAGTACTGAAGGTTCTTCTTTCGGTGGAAGGTGATGGTCTTGGCCTTCACCTTGCGTTCCTTGACATCGACCTTGTTGCCGCAGAGAACGATGGGAATGTTCTCGCAGACACGGACGAGATCACCTATATATGCTGTTAGCGCCTACCCTAGCATTCTCTTTTTTGTTTTTTTGTTTTTTGCCACATACGGTGCCAGTTGGGGACGTTCTTGTAGGTGATGCGGGAGGTGACATCGAACATGATGATGCCGCACATGGACCGTTTGATGTAGTAGCCCGTCACGGGAAGACCCGGCCAAACTTCTTCTTGGCCCCGCAGTGGTCCCACACATCGAACTGGATCTGGCCGTAGTTCTGCAGCGTTTCTTAGCATTGGGTTCTCGCGGTACGGATTGCACGCTCGGCGGGAGCGACTTACGGTGGTGAAACCGAGGGGGTGGACCTCAACACCCAGGGTGGCCATGTACTTCTTCTCGAATTCGCCAGTCAGGTGGCGCTTGACGAAGGTGGTCTGGGAAAGGTCGCGTTAGCAAAGGTCGGACCCCATCGACGCCCTTTTGCGACCCCGCAGTCGGCGTCAAAGGAGTTGCAATCGAGGGCGCTGTCAACAGATAAAAACGTTAAGCTCACCTTGCCGGTACCACCATCGCCGACCAGGACCAGCTTGAAGGTCGGGGTCTGTTGTTGTTGAGCCATGCTGAGTGGTCGATGTGTTGATTAATGTCTTAAAAGAACCAGGCCTGGAAGCCCGCGTTAGTCTTGCAATCGAAAGGAGCGGCTTTTGTAGGAGTCGCGAGTGAAATCGTTGTGGAAAAGCAACCGGAGAGCGGGGATGGCACGAACTTTATCGGCTTATGGAGATTGTAGGGAAATGCGGTTGTGGTCGGGTTGCAAGAATGAGTGGCGCCTGAAGACGGGAGCGATGTTGTTTTCAAAGGGCAGCAGGCTTGGAGCCACAGCAGCCTTGACGAAAAACTCGTTGGCGGCGGGGTGATTTGTGCACGTGATTGTCTGGTCCGTGCGTCAAAGAGAGCTTTTTGGGGGTCTGCTGCGTGCCTTCTTGTTACGGCTTTTGTGTCTTTTATGGGTGTTACGCTGCCGTGGCACGGGTTTTGAACACTCTGAGTCGGATTTGGATTATCCATCATTCACAACGGGAGAGCTGCCCAATGACGCACTTGCCACAAGCTACATCCGATGCCTGAAGCGCCTTGATGTCTTCTCGATTGCCCATCAACGAGGATTTGCTGCCTGATTGATGAGTCAGAGGTAAAGCTCTCAATCGGATGGCCAAAACTGGGGTTCCTTTCATTACTTAGGCATTCTTTCATCACAGTCATCCTTCGTCCTCTGCAAATACAAGTCAAATGTTATCTCTCACCAAGCCATTGGTTGACCAAGGTGCCAGGCACCAAATGGTTTCCCAAAGAAAGAATGCCAAGGACAGGCCGAATTGGCATGAGCCATCAACATATGGATTGCTCTCTCCCCAACCGCTCACGCGACCATTTCTGTGGCCTTCAAATTCCTCTCTTTTAGCAGTCTAAAGATTGTCAGGAATACCACATCGATGCCTCCCTGCCGCCTGCGAAGGCTTGCCAGCATCTCATGGACGAAGACGAGGGACTTGGTACCCATGTTTCTCATCCTTGGTGTTCGGGCCAATAGTGCACAACCTCAGGCGGCCGCAATAACATCATCTCCGACTTGTTTCTTGGGCAATACATACTGCGTTTACCCCAGGCCCGGGGGCCGATGACTTGGTCAGTTTTGCCAGATCGGAAAGGCTGCCAAGCCCAATGTAGCCACAACGGAACGCCTTCGTCCACTGGGGCGAAGCTGGCTTCCGGAAATTCGCGAACCTTTTATTCAAGGTGTCTTACAGAATAGACGGCATCAGCTGCCGACACAGGGCCAAGCCGTTAGCAAGTTATTAGCAAGCGATATCCACAGATGCCCACGGGGTTTTGGCCAGCCTTGCTCCATGTCCAATATGTCCTGTTCCCGTTAAGCAGAAAGAGGTCAGATCTGATGATAACTGCAATATCCTATGTACAAGGTTCAGGTGCTACTTAGTAGCCATCGAACTTGTGAGAAAAAGCTGTTCGAGTCCCATGGTTGCGGCCCCCCGTGCCATTGGTCTCATGTGTACATGAATTGTAGTCGTATCCCAAGTCAGTTGGTTCAGAGCTCCTTCGGTGGTCTCATGGGCCCAATCAAGTGAGTGTAAATTCGGTAACCCGGTAGCCGTCTGTCGTGGGAGATTTGTTGGCAGCGCACCGCCCCCGTTGACCCGCCGAAAATGAGTTTTTTTGGGAAATAATACTCCGTCTCGAAAGAGGGAGCATTGAGATGATCTGTTTGAACATTGCGGGGGGGGGGGTTCTCAATTCGCTCGCTAACCACAACTTGCGGACAAGTACCTTTTCTTTTTTGAGCATCACGGTTTGCCATGGGTCTCGTTTTGCTCCCACATCGGCGAAACCAGTACTGCTATCATCTAGCCATTAATTTAGAGCTAGTTTGGCCTTCGGCTGAGCGGGGACCGCCGCAGGCCCACGATCCTAGCCCCAAGCAGCCGGGACCCGGCAGGTTGTGTAGCCCGTTCGCTCGCTGGTTTACCAACCATCCCAGCGTCTGCTCAGCTTAAAGCGGTAGGATATGGCAACCAAGCATTCCTCTGCCGCCCCAGTTGCGCCTCGGTGTCAATGTCAACCGAAGTTCCTGTGGCTGAGAACCCCCGCCGCTTCTTGATACCTTGACGAGGATATTTTGCTACGATTCCGTTAGCCCACGTCATCAGTCCCTCCACGGGTGGCAAAAGGCTATCGTCTTACCCCTTCGTTTCCTTGAACACATTCTGCCACCTTCTTCAGGCCGTCGTGGTTTTCGAGGCTCACGTAGCCAAAGTTGCGGATGAGGTCGCCGGCTTGCAGGCCGGCGGAGGCAGCTGGGCTGTTGTCTACCACCGAATTGACCTTGGCAAAAGGCTGGCCGAGCGTCTCCGGGACGGAGTCTCTTAGTACAGAGGTGTCGGCGCTAATAGGGGCTGGGGTTTCATCATCGCCATCCTCAAGGCTCGCAAAGTGCTCGTGCAGTCGTTTCTCGATGGTGCCCATCAGATCCTTCCAGTCGTTTCGAAGGTGGATAATGCGTGCCCTCGTAGTCCGAACTGTGACGGGCGGTCAGTACGCTCGCTCCAGAATCTCAACGGTGCTAACCCCATACTTTGCGCTACATCGATATCGGCTCGAGGAAACCCATCCGGAGTAAGAAGGTTGGTGTTCATGTCAACACCATGCTGTAATACTTGTTAGCCGTCCGCTCCCTGGCTCCGAGTTTGAGCGTGGTACAGACAGAATCAAGCACGCCGCCAAGCGCTTTGAGCTCCCCCTCGACCATGTCCTTCTTCCGCTGAAGCTCGGCGATAGTGAGCTGGGTCGCATTTCCGTTTGCGGTGGGCGCCGTAGTTGGCCCCGAGGGGACGGTGGGTGCGTGAAGGGTATTCATGGTTCCAGCTGCGAACACATTCCAGGCCGGGATGGATATTCCAAATTCATCGTCTTGGAATTCAAGACAAGCGAGTGCAGGCAACGATCAAGGTCTCAATGGAGCTGAGTGGGCAGCCTGCTGCAAATGACGCGTTCGGCAGCTGGCATGCGCGGCGCGGGGTAGCTTCAGTGGAGGGGTCGGTCAAGCCAATAGAAGGGCAAGGCCTGTGGAACGTCCCGATCCGGCGGGATGTCTTGGGGGGGAAGCCCTGAGCATCCACCACGGAGCGTTGCAACCCGCCAAGAAGCCAATGATTTTTGGCCAGAAGTTCCGTTTCGGGGATTGTCCAAGGTCTTCTCAGCCCAACAAACCATCCCACCTAGTTCTTCATCAAGACACCACTCCCTGCTCAGTGAAGGGAGTGATGATGATATTGCCCCTCCCAGCAACCAGTATTCCGAAAGACGTTTTTATCCCCCGTTCGAATCTCATGGTTGTTCATACCGTCCGGTCTCATCAATCCGGAGCTGGAAGAGACTACCCAGAACGGGCATGGACGATCGCAAACAAAAATATGGATCCGCCACATGCGAATAGAGGAAAGTTACACAACAACATCACAACATCCCCGTTAACTCGTCCGTCCGCGTCGTGATGGATGCTGCCCAAACGTGACGGGACCCAACCGGCCTCAAGACGTGGCTGGGTCCGGCAACATCGTGGCAGTCCGGATGACGTTCCAATCATGGGGCAAGCCCTAGTCTGTTCGGCCAGTGCGCTGGCTCAATGCACCGAGTAAGGTAGCTCGTCATTGTCCGTCACCAGCAGCTCATAGTCCGGCCGTGGCTTCCCGTCACACCCCACATGAATCGATCCCATCTCATATTTTCTCCTCAATGCCATATCCCACCACCCAATCCGGCTTTCAAGACGGGGTTAGATCTCGAAGGGGCGGGGAGCTGTTCCCGGGGTCCTCCCTCCTTCCTGCCCACTTGCTTCGGGTACATCAGCTGCCTAGCATCCCACTCTAAGTTCAGAGATCGGGCCCGTTTCTGTTCCTTCCCTCTTCTTCACTCCGACTTCGTTGAACCCGGCACCAACGTCGACACACAGACGTTTGGGCCTGGTATTATTCTCTATCATGTTTTGAATCGGGAGGCAGGTCCTACTCGTCGTGTGTCATAGTGACACGCTTGTTTCTAGATATTTTATATCTGCCTCCGATCACACATGATGCACACCCTGAGTGTCGATTCTGGACCGCTATTTTCCAACCTCGCTTTCTCTGGTTCCCCCAATGGCCCGCAACAGCCCGAGGATGCAAAGCCCGATGCTGCCCAAGTAGGCGGAGGTGGGATGACGGACTTGGGGGTCGTTAGAAATGGATTTGGGCTGGGTAATGCCTTTACAACGCCCGTTGAAGAGGGGAACGATATGGAGACGGGGAAAGAGGAATACTTCCTTTGCCACGAGACGCAACCCGATCAATTCCGCTGCCAATCAAGGCCGCGCCCGGCCAAGCCCTTCCAAAAATGGATGAAAACGTTGCACAAACGCGTGTTGCGGCAGCACCAAATGTTGGGTGACGACGGAAGCCTCGCCCCCTGGCTTCGTGAGGCGTCGGAGCGAGGCTCTCCAAGCCGGGGGTCCGCCCATCACAGGCACTCATCCTCCGACTCGTCCTTCGCTTTCGTCACAACGCCGAAAAGTGCCAGTATATCCATGAACGGTCTCAGCCTGCTGACGCGTTCACGAAAAACGACGATCCGGTCATCACGAGGTCCGAGAACAGAGCGCAGTAGCAGGGCTTCCGTCTCCGGGCCCCGGCTTTCTGAGGAGAGTTGTCGTCCCGAGAAACAGGTACCCGTGGACACTGCCGTTGTTGAGCGTGCTCTGCAGCGGCGTCGTATATTAGAAGAGCTGATCAGCACCGAGGAATCCTACATCGGAGACGTCCGCTTCTTGATGAACGTAGGTTTGGACATCGCTGACATCTATCAATTCTCACATTTTTATAGGTCTACGTTACGATCCTCGCTTCGTTGCCCACGACCCCCGCAGGCCTGCGTTCATCTGTTAACCGGAACTTGACCGATATCGTAGAGCTTCACGAGGAGCTTCTTGGAGAGTTGCACTGGGCGTTACCGGATTCAGGATGCACGCAGCCGAATCTCCCCATCCAACAGACCGAACCGAGCTCTTCGAATTGTGGGAACCGTCATTGGAGGGGCCTAGATATTGTTCCGGAGGGAAGAGATGGAGTTTTGTGGCCAAAAGATGTCCCGGGGAGGGTGGCCGAGCCTCAAGTGGCAGCCGAAGTCGCGAAGGTCTTTATGAAAAGAGTAGGCATATCCACAAGCAGCCCGGACCCCAAACGACACGCTGACCCTTTTTTTGGATGGATGACAGATGGATCGCTTCTTTATTTACGAGGAGTATGGGGCAAAGTATGAACTGATGATCAAAGATGTCGCTGCGACGCATCGTCTGATGCCGGGCTGGCCATCATACCAAAAGGGGCTTGAGGTCCTAGCCTCGTCACTGAGTCCCGCGGATAGTCGCGACAGCCAGTCGAAGAAAGCTCTTGCGATCTGCGACCTGCTTGTCAAGGCAAGTTATCCTCTGCTGTAACGGAAAACTCAATTAACGCATATTAGCCGATTCAACGGGTGTGCAAATATCCTCTCCTGTTTTCGGAGTTGTTAAAGCACACTCCCGTCATTGACTGCCCATATTCTCACATGGAAGTTGAAAACACACTCATTAGGCTTCGCGAGGCAACTGCCGAGATCAACCGAGCCACCAACGATTCTCGTACCAAGTCAGTTTTGGAGAAGACGTGGATTCTCCAAGACCGACTTGCGTTTCCAGACCGAGTATGTGACCTGTAGCCGTTCCTAATTCCGCTAACAAGAAGTAGCAGCTGGATGCGGTCCTGAGGAACCGCATTCGGTCGTTCGGCCATCTCCGGCTTTGTGGTGCTCTCCACGTCTGCTGGCAGACCAAGGACGGCGCCAGTGGGCAGTACATGGTCGCCCTCTTGTACCGTGACTGGCTTTGCCTCGCGACGGCTGCCAGGGTTGACCAGGTCTACACTATCCAAGCCTGTATCTCCTTAAACAACATTAGAGTAGAAGAAGTTGATAATGGCCGAGGTACGACCTTACCATCCAAACCCAAAACACTCCGGATAGGTATGCTCACCAAATGCAGGGCTCCAATGTCACTCGGTGCTGCATTCTTGGAAAATTGTATTCTTATGCGACAACCAACTTTACGAGCTGATATTGACTGCATGCTCCCCCAAAGAGGAGCTGGAGTGGAGGGCGCGACTGAGAAGCAGCCAAACAACTAATTCAGAAGATGAAGACCAAACGCAACCAGATATTTTTAATTTTTTGTCCCTCAACATCAAGACGCTGGGAACTGTCTTTAGGAAACCAGGTATACCCCCTGAATCGCGAGCCCAAATTCGGGCTCTGCTGACAAGCTTGTAGGAACCATTGCTAGAAAAATATCGATACACCGGGCGACCACCATTGGCCCCAAATCCCCCCTTTACCAAGTCATCCTCAAGAACACCAGCGCCGCCAAGGAGGCCCCAACGAGCTCTGGTAGCCAGATCAACCGGTCGCAATCGCTGCTCACCACCAATAGCCGCATCCCCGTGCTAGCGCCGGCCCGGGCTGAGCGAGCACGGCTTGAGGCCTTGCTCTCGGACGTGTGGACCCGCGACGTCTTGCCTTTTCCCGGGATAACCGCTCGGTCCAGGAGCGAGCACCTCGTCCGGGCCTCGGCGTCGTCCATGATGCGCAAGCTGAGCTCGGTCACCATCCCCGGCAGCTTTAGCCGGCGCTCGGCCAGCTTTGCGAGCCTGCACACCCAGAGCCAGCACCAGCAGAAGGAGAAGAAGAGCGGCACGGCCGCCGCAACTAGCACTGAGATCGAGCCATGGACGACCAAACAGGCCCCTGCGCTTGCAGGCGCATCCGACCTCGCATACCCGGCGGCTGCCCCCGACCACCACCCAGGGCCACACCGAGACCAACACCGGCCGCGCACCGCGACCACCACCACCGCTACCACCGCTACCACCGCCACCACCATGTCGACATCCGAACCGGAACGAGACTCATCCGAGGCGCTGGAAATGGCGGGTCGCCGCCGCCCTGCCGCCAGTGCCGGCACAATCCCTCGACGCGCCTCGGCACCCGACGAGCTGGGCCGCTGCACGGAGGAAGAGGGCCAGCCGGAGCCACAAGAACAAGAGCAAACAACTGCGGGACGAAAGGAGCGTGGGAAGTCTTCGCCTCGGCCGAACTCGCAGCGCTCTCAACTAAGCGAGATCTCGGCTTCGGGGAGGGAGGCCGAGATGAATATGCTGAGGAAGAGCAGCGGGTGTAAAGGGGGGGGAAGGGGAAGGGGAAGGGGAAGGGGAGGGGGAGGTGTTGTGGAGGGGGAGAGTTCGGGAGAGAAGAAGAAGAAGAACGAAAATCCTGAGGGGGGCTCAGTGCAGGTGTCGATGGGGGATGGTGGGGCGGGTATGGCCTCGTCGTCGTCGAGGTCCAAGTCGCTGCGGCTGTCGGGGAAGAGGCTGGCTCAGGCTAGTGTGCGGAGGCGGGAGGCGGTTGCGGATAGGTTTCGCAGCTTTTTTCGTCAGGGAGGGTGCTGAAATTGCTGATGGGCTGGCTGGCTTATTTGGGGTAGGGACCTGGACTTCCGGATGGAAAAAAGAAAACGAAAAAGGACAGGATGGCTTGCTTTTGATACCCCCCTCTCACACTCACTTTCTTTTTTCTCTTTTTACATGGAACGGGGATCAAGCAAGGCACCTCACGGAGCTTCCGGATGGGTTTTGGCGTTTTTTTTTCCAGTCGGGAACACGGAACACTGGATGTATACTTAAGGTTATTGGAATTAAGAACGCACGATGGTCTCGGTCCTAGTCCGGCTAAGACCTAGTTGGTGGATGGGTAGACTGTGGGCTTTAAGGTATACTATGTAGGTAAAAAGTTAAAAGGCATAGGCTGTGCAAACACAGTGGTTGATCCCCGAGATTCATCGGCATATGCCGAAGGTGTTGGTCGTGTTGGCCAACGGTGACGTCAAAAGGGGAGCTCGCTGCAGGAACTTGTAAAGGTACCTCGGCGATGGCATGATAGCGGATATGTCCGGGAACTGTGTGAATATACCCCGCCTGGGTCTGCTCGCTGCTGCTCCGCACCGTCAATGCCAATGCCGTTTGTTCGTGGCACTAGCGGTTTAACTAGCATTTACACTATCAAAGACTGAATCGGGGTTGAAATAAAGCCAATAGTTACTCCACAAAGCTTACCTAAATCATGGCAGAAAGATGCCAATTCGGGGCAGTGCTGCAGCAATCCATACAGTGCTTGCCTTGGTGGCAGGCCCGGCAGGCTTGGGTGCACCCTCATCGTCACATCAAATTATGACGTCACCACCTGCCCCTTACCTCCCGTCGTTTATTTAATGAAGGCAAGAAGCACACGACAGTTTGGAAGACGAACTTTTATTGAAAGCATACTGCAATTGACTCTCATAAGAATACTTCGATTTGAATTTTGACGATAAAAAGCGATCTTTCTTCAAGCAAACTAAACACCAACACTGCCACAACCACCACTCACTAAGACGACCACTCGAACAACCCACGAGTGACACGCCCAAACCCAAACTCAATTACACCCACGCGACGCAATCATCCCTTCTCACAGCCCAATATGGCGCGCGGAGAAGCCAACAGTCCCAAGGTGCACTACAAGAGCAGCAACGACGAGGATTTTGTCGTGTTTTTGGACAGCGTCGAGAGTTACCAGAAATGGCTGGGCGACAAGAGCGTGCCACTCCCCCAGGTCGTGTCATCGTTCAAGATCTTCACTACACACGGGTAGGTTTTTGTTCATTTTCTTGCTCTACGTTGCTCTATACCTGCTTTTTGCCTGCCCGCCGATGTGTCACCCGTTGCTCGTCGGTGGCAGCCTGTCAAAGCGGGGGAGAGGGGGGTTATGACGCAATCGGGAAAGTTAAAATACATACAATTCCATTCATGTACTAACAAGAAGGCGTGTTAGGCAAGGCCATCAGGGTATACTTGACGGCGTGTCAAATGCGATGCTCGAGAACGAGTTCGGCACCTCCAAGGACGAAGACGCGGTGTTCCAGATCCTGGAGAAGGGGCGCCTGCAGGAGTTTTCGGTATGTCGATTGTTCCCTTCCTGTTCCCCCCACACCACGTATATTTCCCTTTCCCGTCGTTGCGTCGATCACCATTGGCGATTGGCGTCGCACACCTTCGCGCCGCCGGGCTGTCCTCGGTGTTCGTCGAACCGCGAGTTGTCAGCCGCTGGCAGGGCTCGTGGTGTATGACAACGAGAACGGTACGAGTGGGCGGCCGGGCGTCTCGTGAAACGGCCTGCCGTTGCTGAGCCTCGCTCGTGCACGCCCGCCCGCTCACCCGCGCACACAACATTGGGGCCTCCGCCGGCCGCTCTCAGTGGCCGTGCCCACCCAGCGGGAGGCCGCGCCGCAGATCGGACCAGATCACGGAGCCATCAATCCAGCCATCAATCAGTCAATCTAGTGGTTGAGTTTGACGCACGGCAGTCGCGGCGCTTGCTTTGTCCTACCTTGTCTACTGCCGTGGCGGCCGGGATTCATTTACCAGACAAAAGAACATAGCTTGAGAAGACACAAAACCCATACTGACATACCTGACCTACAGATGCCGGAGCGCGAAGGCCGCAAGAATGACTCCAAGGGTGGGGCCTACGTCACTCGCTAAGGAGATATGTTGAGCCCAGTCACGGCTATGCACTCACCCCGAGTGCACCACCAACCCACACCCGGACCCTGACCTCAGACGATCGGAAGTTTGTCTTGCATCAGGGTGCCGCAAACGGGTGGCGGTAATCCATCGATCAGATTCGATAGCCACGGAAAAAAGGCGGGTGGAGGGTGAGAGCAGTTGATATCAATCGGGGTCTCGAATTCGGCGATCGGGAAGCCGGGGTCGATGATGAGGCGGGCGATCTTCAGTCGGTCTGGTCTGGCCCCCCTCTCCGTGGGCGGGGTGGTGAATTGTTTTTTTCCCATAGTCTGTAACACGACATGAATGCCTAACCTACCTACCCACATCTCTGCTCTCCCGAATGGCCCAATTCAATTGCTTTTACCTGGTGCTCCGTCTCACAAACGACGTCTCGGCGGTTTGTCTCGGACGGACGAAAACCGACCGCGCCTTGGCAACGTCCAAGTTAGCCGCCAAGCGCCACGTGACGCTCTCCCTCTGCTTTTCCTGATCTGAGACAGGGCCGCCCGCCTGGTGAGACAGGTTGCTTGGCGTTGCTTCAATCGCTGGGGAGCCGAGCCAAGTGACTGGCTGGCTGGCGCGCTGGCGCGCGGGCGTTTTCGTTTGGGAGTTGAGTCAGTTGGGGGGGAATCTGTGAGAGGCGAGAGGCGAGAGGCTGACTTTTCCGCGCGGAGGTGGGTGGGTAGGTGTTGCGGGCTGTGACTGGGTCGTTTGGGCGTTTGGGCGCTTGGTGCGACGGCGCTGCCTGCTTGTTGTGTTGTGGAGGTTGCGTTGTGTTGTGTTGTGGCGTGTCGTCTGCCGCTGGGAGGCCTACCTCACCTAATCCTCTATTTGGAGTTGGGGTTGTGGTTCTGAGGGTGAGGGTTTTGGTTTGGGTTGGAGGGTGGAGGGGGGGAGGGAGTGCCATTTTTTTAGATTGGGTTAACTAGTTGTGGAGGGTGTTTGGTTATTTCTGCTTTGGTCCGTTTGTTGTTGAGGGAGTGTGCGAGGCAGGGTTGTTGGTTGTCTTTTGTTGACTCCTGACTCTTGACTTCTGGATATCGCTGGGAGTTCCCGGCCGTTGTTGGTTCTAGAACTTTTGACTCTGTCTTGTTTTTCTGGTAGCGATTTGGGAGTGTGGAATGGGATTGACCCTGGAGGATACATCTCGGGGATTTTACGAGGTTGTCTCCTTGTCGTGCTGCTGGCTCAGACCCCTTCTGGGTTTCAGGCGCGTTTTGGTTTTGGCGGATGGCGAGGTAGCATCAGTTACCCCCTCAACCCCTTTGACAAAGCAAAATTTGGCAACTCATGACTGAATGCTTTTGAATCGCAAATTGCACAGGCATGCACATGAAGAAGTCGTGAAAGGTGAAAGCAATGAGCTTGATTGCGTTTGGATTATACACAAGCACTACTGCTTCCTGCTGCCCGCTTCCCGAGCCTTCAGGGGACCACGGGCTCCTTGCAACCACGGTTGAGGCGCATGCCAGAACCACTGGTGGGTATTCCATACCCTAAAGCACACCTTTCTCCGGCCCTGCCCCGGTGTCTGCCCCCTTGGAATAACAACGCAACGCCATGCTCGCCATGCTGCCACCCCTTCCTCTTCATCCCGCCACAGGGCAGGTCTCGTCATGCTGAAATGGACAAAATATGATGGTATATGAAAAAGAAATACAGAAAAAAAAGAGGAGCGCTTTCAGATCGCCATCTAAGAATAGGAATGCGTATTTTCGGTCGTTGATGCCATATGTACGGTTTCTCTCTCCTCCTCGTCCCACTCTAGTCCACGTTTCTCCTTGGTGAGCCCAAGCGAGGAGCTTGGCTTGATCGTCTTCGGTCCTCGCGATGACGGCGATCGGTGTGCCTTGCTGGAACGGTTGGACGGATCGGTGGAGGCAACGTGGCGAGGTCGTGAGGTAGGGGGTCAAGAGGTGTTGGCGGCATCGAGTATTCACACCACGGGTAGATATAGACAGGGGTACTAGGTGCGTGTGTGTGTGTGTGTCCCCCTAGACACGGCCACGCGGGGTCCGTTGTGGTAGAGTCCACGGCTTTGCGCAAATCATCTGTGTAACGTGTTAGCATCCGTCTCAAGCGAAGCATCATCCGACCAAAACATACCTCTCCTTCGCTGTACGCCCAAAAGTAGACCCCCAACCCAATGACCTGATAAATGGCGGCATTCGTGCCCTGGTACATCAGTGCGGCGGCCAGAGCGGTCAGCGGCAGGAAAGCGAGGCGCGCTTCGAGACTGCGATGGAAGCTGGAGCCGGCGAGGAAGCCCAACGGCCACTCCCATGCGAGGAGGATGATGCCAAAGACTAGATTAATGGTCTGGAGTACTGGTATCGGTTTGACGGCCGGATCGAGCGTCTTGGTGACGAAATCCCAAAATATCTTGGGCCAGAAGTATCCTTCTACCGCGGCAGCGATCTGGTCTGCATGTCTGTGTTAGCATTCCGTCCGGCCCCCTGTCTCCTCTCGAGAATCCCCATCTGGGTTACCTACACATTGCTGCCGAGAGGACAATGAGCCTCGCCCAGTGGTTCTTGATAAGCCTTCCCATAATTCCGGTTGGCGAGTGATGGTCCGATCAAGCGGTCCCGGTGTCCCTTCTAATAGTCCGAGCTGTTCCACAAATCCCTCTCTCTTGCCGTGTCACAAACACGCTGATGCTTTTGTCGTTTTCCCGATTATCACCGAAATTCCGTATCCAAACGATCGATCCTGGGCGCCGAAGAAAAAGATGCGAGAGCCGAAGAGAAACAAATAGTACAGGGTAAAAAGTCGAAGGAAAGAAAAGCGAGGTTCCGGACCTGCGATGGATGGGTGGCTTGGGCTACCGAGATCCAAGAGAAAAAAGATCGATATGAAAGAAGGCTATCGACCAGCGGCGGCGAAGAAGGAGAGGAAAGGAAGAGAGGCGGAGGAGAGATCCGAGACACCCACGGCCAGCGGGGCGGTGCTGGCTTGATATTGGGGATCCCTCGCCTCGGCCGGCCACGGCGAGACAAGCCCGGGCGTCGGACGGGGAGTTTGGCACTCGCCCTGGTGGGCTGGCACCGGAGCCCGGGAGCTCGTGTATCAGATGGGCCGCCGGGGGTGTGCTTGTGTCTCGGGTCGCAAGTCTGAAGCTGGGGTGTGTTCGTGCGATATCCAAGTTCGGGTGACCCTGTCGATGACCACGGCAGGCATAGGGGCAAGCATTGATGGGGGTTCCCAGACGAGTGGACCGTTTCGTCGGATCGGGGGCTAAGCGGCCATGGAGATGCCGGAGTTCGACGAGGGGTCTGATTCAGATGAAGCTTTCCTGCGGGCTGGACTTTCTCTCAACTACCGTGGGATGTCAGGCCGGGCAGCCCTCGCATTGACCCGTGATGGAGATCAGACAAGGCAAGGTCGTGGTTACCAAGGGGAAGGTTTGAGGTGGAAGGGGGCGTTTGGGCATGGAGGTAGTGTGTGAGTGTGGCGGGGACGGATGCTTGATCCCCAGACACCCGGGACCTTGAGAGTTTAAGAAGTGACAGGGTTTATTGCGCCCAGAACGCCGAGGTGCCTGGAAGGGGGGGGGGGGCCTGCGCGCGAACGGCCGTGGAGTGGTGTAAGTCGAGAAGTGGAGTCGTTTCCGGAACTTTTTGACACACCCTTGTCGGACACGGGGGTGTGGGTTCACAGAAACAGACGACAGCCTGACTCGATGGTGACGGAGAATTGAGAGAGAGAGTTGCCTCATCAGCAAAGAAGAACAAAAATGGAACCACGATCTGTGTCATGAGCAAAACCAGCCACGTTCGGGGCCGCCTCAGCGTCTCCGCGCAAGCGATTGTGAGCGAGCCAAAGCCCCCGCATGGTCCGCATGGCAGCAGCCGAGGGGAAGGGGCGGGAAGTTGCTGAGGTCCAGGGTGGGTGGGAGGTGGGGAAGCAGGGGGCGGCTCGCGAAGCAGAAAAAGTAACCAGGGGTACGAGGTATTCCACACCCCTCTCACCTATCAAACCACCAGCGATTTGCTGGGCCATTGCCAATGCTGTTTGATGGACGGCTTGTCGTCCAAGGCAAAAAAGGCTCGGCCGCTGCCCAGACCGACCATGGGCGCCGGCGGTAAAATGCGGACGCTCACCGCGGGCCACGGTCGACGGGCAATGACCTGCTGCTTATTTCTTTTCCCTCCGTTTTTCCACTTATTCTTTGTTCAATTCCTTGCTCTGTTGAACGAGAGGTAGCGAAAGGTAACGAGAGAAAAATGAGGATTTTCGTCTGCCATTACCCACTGGGCAGACTGCAAGGAGCTCATTTGGGCGACGACGAGAGAGAACAGAGATGGGCTTGCTGCTTGCTGGCCCGGTGGACTTCTTCGATGCAAGCGTTGCGACACAGCTCTCTGGGCTGCACTGTTTGGTGTGATTGGTGTGTGCCGAGGGCGGCTACAGGGCGGGTCCTGCCAATGAGATGACCAGCCACGATGTCGCTGCGTGAGGAGCCAAGGGTCCCCCGCATGCCTCCCTGTCTGCCAAGATGATGTACCGGCCTGTAACGCCCCTGCACTTGGCCGGTGTCAAGTGACAAAGTCGACTCCTCAACCCTTGAGAGGTTCTTCTGTCTCTTGGTGGCTGAGATGCATCGCGCCTGGATTGGGCAACAATAACGGCACTATCGGCGTTGTTGTTGCGGGCTGCGTCTGCACGCAAGCAATGAATGCGAGCATGGAAGGACTGCCCGAGATACACACTTGGTTGTTACCCCGAACAGGGCAAGCAGCTCCATAGGCTGTTCCATCTTTCCGTGCTGCCGGGCAAGACATTGATGTTCCAAAATGGAAGCTTAGGATGTTCGAGCGATGCGTCGAAATCTCTGCTCAAACCCAGATTTGGGATTCCCCTTGCCGCCGCCACCACCTCGTACAGTCGAACAGCCACAGCAGACTCTGAGACCCGGTCCCGCTCATCCGGCGGCCGGCTGAAGCACAAGCCGTTTGAGGCGGCTGGGGCGAACAATGCTGATGGGAGGGGGAGATCCATACTCTTGGCAGGGCCAGGGGCAGGGATCCTCGCTTAGGTGCCGCTGGCTTGCTTGAGCGGCGGGCCTCGACATGACAACCGCCACGAAGAAAACTCACTCATCAGATGTCGATGATGTTGGCCGCGATCGTTGACGTTGGCGAAAAGGCGTCCTGATTTTCTTTGTCGCTCAATTTCCGTTTTTGCAAGCGTTACATTCGTTGATCATCACAAGATACTATCCATCCACGTGGGAACGTCTTTCTCGAATTTGGTGCTTCTCAAAAAACCTCCGCGGGCAGCGCGGGTTGAGAACCCAAAACGCCAAGGGTTTGATGCTCTGAGCTACCACGTTGCCCAAGCGATCTCAGCTCCATCAACACAGCAGACCAGCCACTTCGGCAACGAAAAGTTTTTGCGATTAGTAGACGGCCATTCCAAGATCTATGTATAAAACCGCACTCCCGTTGCACTGCAGCATTTGAGCGCAGTCTTTTATCTGGTGGGCCGAAATCTCCCAGGCATTTGCATCTGCATTCGCCGGCCCGGTCCCAGTCCCCATGTTGTTGCTTGCATATGCACATCGAGCATCTCCTTGCTCGTGGCCTCTATAGATCGAAAAGACACTGAACCAATCTTTTCAGCGGTTGGTCACCGCCAGCCATTGGCCGCTTCGGCATGGAATAAAACCTTGAGCCCAATGAGAACCGAAAGCAAGCTTCTTCCTTTCCAACCAATGGGGCTGGAAACGAGAGGCTCCCCCGCACCCTGTGGCTTGGCCTCGAGCTGGTTCACCACTGCACCCTGCAGCAGATCACATCGCACAATGCCAGGCTATTTTTATCAGCACAGCTGGGTCAGAGTCGACTTTCGCTCGCTTTCAAATAGCTTCATGTTACGGCCAAGCTCTTGGGATCGAGATGGGGAGGATTATATCATGCCACTATTCGTGACGCCAACGCTGCCGTGATTTTGCACTTGTCTAGGCGCGGCCAAGATCCTGTGCCTCGTTGACTTTCGTGCGGAGTTTGACCCGACGATCTTCCCGAGGCTGGGCGCTGTCGTCACCGCATCTCCATCGAGCAGGAACCTCTCCGAGACGAATAATATATCCTTGGTCTCACTTGCAGCCCTGCTTTGGGATCTGATCCTTCACCGCTACGAAGTACCACTTGTGACACTGTCCACCACGCCGCCGTCCCCGCACTTCTCGGCCCGTGAGCTGGCCGCCCCCAACGCCTCTCACGGCGAACCGGCCGGGGAGGGCCGCCTTGACTTGAGACCAGACACAGGAATGCTTGAGCTTCAGGGTGGCGCCGGGTTTCCCAATTGGGATACCAAATCATCAAAAGTCCATCCTCCCATTCGCCTTCTCTCGTCGCCTCATCTTGTCTCACCCTATGAGCACATGACTTTTGGCGTGAGCCGCAATGCGTCAGCTTCTCTATATGCGAACCGGCAACTCTATTGAGAGTTGCACTTTTCTGGAGCTGACAACAGATAAACCAAATATCGTTCCTGAGGGAATCACTTGCTCGCTTGGAAATGGCAGCTGACGCTCACAAACCAACATGTCCAAGAAGAGATTACCTCCATCCAGCAGGCAATGACGCCGCCAACTTCAAAATGTATTGTTAGTAGTTGCTGAAGTCCCGCACTGCCATTGGGCCTCACAAACAGAGTATGAGACGACGGGCTGCATAGAATCGGACCACGCCCAAACCCGGTGACTGCTCCGTCCAACGGCCTCGCTACGGCAGCCTTGCTACGTAAGGCTGCTAGCTAACTGCCTGACTACCTAATATCAGGCGGCTTGCGCGTAGGCGACTTGACAGCCGACTGCATAGAGCTAACTCCGTGATTATTTCTGCCCAGGTACCAGAGGGGCCGACTTGCCGCCAAATTTGGTGTTTACCGCGGCAATGTCTTAGATCTCGGTGTACGCCATCACATTGATCCGTCACGGCGGCTCCGGGCTTGGAGAGCAAATCACATCGACCCGCCAAGTCAGTGCTAGTTGTGTTCTGCCATGTTGTAGCTTAACTTCCACCGGGATACCATCCCCATCCCATCAATGCCACGTAGACAGCCCAAACCACCGAGACCACCAGGCCATGCCCAAGCAAGCATCATCGCTCAAAGATTACCTCCTGAACCGCACGTCAGCCCAGCTCTCAGGTAGAGTTGAACGTCTCTCCCCGGCGATTCGCCAAGACTTTCCAGGGAACTTGCCAATAACGAAACCATCTCCATTTTCCCCGTACCACAACTTCCCCAAATCACCTCCCCTTCCAGAGATCCCCTGAACCAACTTCCCCCAAACTCACCCCACCGCTCCCTCCACCCCTCCCACAACCCCCTCCGACAACGCCCCAGACATATCATCATTACTATTATTCACACCCCGACCCTGTTGTCCCTGACCGTAACCACCCTGACTCTGTCCCAGTCCCTGCCCCTCACCGTAACCGTAAACCCGTGACCTTGGCCCCCAACCTGCCACTGCCACCTTAACCCTGCCCAACCGCCGTCCCCGCGTCCCTGACCACATTGCTACTGGTGACCGTACACCAAGGCAGCAGCTCGCGCGCGGCATCCACGGGCCAGCGGCAAGCACTTCGCGCGGTTGTGAGCGAGGATTGGAAGGCCTGGAGGGCGGTGGGTAGGGCGGCGGGGTCGGAGGAGGCGAGGGGGATTATGGGGAGGGGGAGGGCGTGCGTTTGGAGGCTGTTGTATGCGTGTGCTTAGTTATATGTGGATGTGGATGTAAATACTTTGTGTGTGTAGATGTTTGTGTGTGTTGTGAGTGAATAGTGTGTGTGTGTGTGTTGTGATGGGATGGGTGAATGGGGGACTTACTGGATGTGGAGCTCCACAAAAGATTGCATGGCGGGCTGGGAGGTTGTTGAGTTGCTGTCTTGGGGGCTGAAGAGGAAGAGTAGAGCGGTGTTGGGGCCGTTGGTGAGGCTGTGGAGGTGCTGGATTCGGGGGAGCGTTTGTGGGTTGGTGAGGTCATCCGGGGCGAGGAGCAAGAGGTGAAAGGTCTCGTAGTTTTCTGAGTGTAAATCTGGGATGCTCAGGGCGATGTCATGGGTCACCAGGTTAGTTTCTAAGGCTATGTTAGCTGTAAAGTATCTATGCTTTGATCGATATGTGGTGGTACCTCTCCATCGCCTCCCCTCAGTTTGTAGAAGTTGGGCTGCAGCCGATATCCAGGCCGGGCGTTGCCTCAGGCTCGAGCAAATCAAGTTCACCGCGGACTCCTCGTTTGAGTGATCCATTAACCCGCTATCCTGCACCCGGGACTGAACCATGAGGTGTTGAGTGGTCTGTCATTAACTGATTGGGTATCGTTTCTATCTCTATGCCAAGGTTGTTGTTGTTTTTTTGTGGGAGAAGGGTTTGTTCGCCTGTGCACACGCTTGTGCCTTCCTCATGTGTAAACCTGCATCCAAACTCCAAGGCACCAGCCCGGTGCCGGTGCCGCCTATCGTCACATGGCCACCCTTCAAAGTTGTCATCGTACAGATAATGCTGCCTCAAACAGGGTAACCCGCCCGGACCCTAGAAAGGGTGTTACGGTGATACCATATTCCCTGCTTCCCGGCATCAAGCTGTCGCCGTTGGGGCCGCTAGGAGGGGCAGTTTCGTCTTCGGGTCTTTGAACGCCCTCAACGCCTCCTCAATCAGCTGCACCCGCTCGTGCTGCCTTCTTTCCTCGGCCTCGAGTTCCTCCTCTTTTATCCTTAGTTCTTCCATCCTACGTTGTAGTTCCTCGATCATCTCTTTGTTCTTATCCGGCTTCTGCGATGACCTCCAGTACTCATACGTTATCAACCCTCCCGCAACCGCAAGAATAAACGCATCACCAACCACGTCGGCAAAAAGGTCGACCGCTTTGCCCTCGGGAAGCGACCTGAACTTGCGCTTCCAAATGCTGACGGGGGCCTCTTTGTGCTCCTTGATCGACTCCCGCGCCGTCGTCCCGTACTTAGCTCGGAGCTCCTCTTCCTTCTTGACTTGCTCCTCTGTTTTTACCACGGGGGCTTCGGCCTTCTCCTTCGCTCGTTGCTCGGCATCTTTGTTCCGTATTACAGCGACCGACATCCGCATATTAAGCTGGTGTATTGTCTGGCCATACCGCGCGGCAAAGGCCCGGAATCTGGGGTGTTCGTGCGCCTGGTGTTTTATGTGGTTCTGCGAGGTGGGAGGAGTTAGGAGGGTGCTGGACTCGGGAGACGGCCTGGAAGCAAACGTACCGCACCGTATTTGGAGACATGTCGCACGAGGAGAGCCGCGAGTTTGAAAAGCGGCAGCGGCACCATTGCGCACTGAACTCTGGTTTTTGAACGGCCCACTGGATTGCGATGCCGAGCTTACGGGTGTCGGATTTGGGGCTCGCCGCCGTGATATCCGTTGGAAGTCCTTATTGCTGATTTAATATCGGTTTAACTTGTCGTCTTCAGGAAGCCTCGGAGGGGGACATGGAGTCATCTTCAACTTTGGTGGGGTTGTCTCAGGGACAGCTCGGTACTTGAGCCAATGAAGTTGCGTCAAGTGGTGGTTCAAGGAAGCTTATTATTTGCAGCCCGCAGTGACCATCATGGCGGCTCGAGGGCGGCCAACAGTGCAGACCCACACTTTGGGCCTTGTTGCTGTGGTGACCCGGGGAAACACTCCACGCTCGGCTCGGCCGCGAATTTCCCGATTGTATCTTTCCGGACCCGACACCTGCAACAAACACTTCGCCGGTCCGGACTCATCACTAATACCTCACTGTTGTCACCGGTTGTGAGCACGCCTTGCCAACGGCAGCTCTATCGTGTGCATCCGAGTCGCGGTCAACGACAGTCGCCGTATCACAACGACGTCTTGCATCGTGAGTTGATCCCTCGTGAATTCAGGCCTTTTTTTTTTCTATGTTATAGTTGGAGTTGGAGATTTTATTAGTGTCGGAATGGCCACGACACTCCCTGTCAATCATACTCCCTCTGGTGTCTTCCATAGCCTAGCTATTCGATCGACGCTAACTGGCAAAACAGAACTGGGATAGCACCAGCTTCTGCTCGACGACACGTTGCTCGGCAAACCGTTGAGACCTCACAATCCCCGATCTTCTCTCGAGCCGCCGCGGCCCGAAGGGTATCGAAATGGAGGCGTTGTCCCCCCGGGATGCTAATGCCCAACGGCTCCCTCGAGCGCACGAACTGAAGACGAAGGCTGCCGCCCAACTCAAAACCACGAGGGACAAGGAACACCCGCCGCCGCCGCCCAACAATGTTGTCGAGCCGCCAAGCTCCGACCGCAAGGATGGTGTCGTCTATCAAGTCGGCAAGCTCCTAGGAAAGGGCGGCTTTGCCATTTGCTACGAAAGCAAGGCTGCAGGAGCATCGAAGCGCGTTGCCCTGAAGATTGTCAAGAGCAAGATGCCGACAAAGATGGAGCAAAAGGTGGGTATTTCGGTGGCGGGATCGTCGTACTTGAAGCTAACCGCCATTCTCTAGTTCCAAACAGAACTGCAGATCCACTCCAAGATGCGACACCAGAACATCGTGCAGTTTCACCGCGCTTTTACATTCGAGAGCTGCACCTACCTGGTTCTGGAACTTTGCCCCAATGGCTCGCTCATGGACATGGTCAAGCGTCGTAAGGGCCTGACCGAGGCTGAAGTGCGTTTTTACACGGTCCAGATCGCGGGGGCCATCAAGTATATGCACGCGAAGGGCATCATCCACCGCGATCTCAAGATGGGCAACATCTTCCTCGACAAGTACATGAACGCCAAGATTGGCGACTTTGGCCTGGCCGCTCTGCTCCTCACCGGCAAGGACATGCAGGTCATGCGACGGACAACACTATGTGGGACACCCAATTACATTGCTCCTGAGATCCTAGAAAAGGGGAAGAAGGGCCATGATCATATGGTCGATATCTGGAGTCTGGGAATCATCGTGTAAGCTCTTGCTGACCGACCACGTTTCATCCCAATGCTAATTCAAACCAGGTTTGCGATGCTCACATCAAAGCCTCCCTTCCAATCCTCGACGACAGACGAAATTTATCGCCGCGCAAAAGACCGTGACTACGAATGGCCATCATCCGACACCTCGTCTACATACATCACCCAGGAAGCGAAAGATCTTGTCGCTACCATGCTTCAGGATGCTGATAAGCGACCCGACCCCGACACCATTGTGGCACACCCATTCTTCACCTCCGGATACATGCCAGGCCCTTCCGACATCAACTACAAACTGCGGGAATTTGCGCCTGAAAACCCTGCCTTTTACGAGCCCCTGAACTCCCAAGCCCAGTCTATCAACCTTCGAAACGTCCAGGAGATGTGCCGAGAGTGCGGTGTTGGGCCGTGGTGTCAGTCGCAGTTGGTCTTCAGGAATATTTGGAGGGAGATGGCGGAGGAGGAGCAGAACGGTCTGACCCCAGTCATCCCCCTGGCCGAGGGTATTGTCTACCGGCCGTTCGATGAAATCAAGAACGAGCAGAAGCTCCAGGCTCGGGTCGCGGCGCAACAACTCTCAAAGCAATCATCGCAAACTTCGGAGCGACCATCCGAGTCTAGAAGCCTCAAGGAGAGCACCCTATCTCAAAAGCCCTCAGCTGGCCTGCTACGGGCTCCGCCGCAGAGCTTTGCTGCCCAGCAGAGGGCGCAACACAGGCCTGCAACCACGACGACGGGCGTGTCGCGATCCAAATCTGTCACGGAGCCCACGACGAGAACCGTCGCCCTGCGACCGCGCCCCACGAGAGAAACACCTGCGCCCTCTCAGCAGCCCGCCGATGATCCCGCCCCGGTCTCAAGGACGTCGACCCGCAGCCTTCGTAGCCAGCTCACATCGACTAGAAGTCAACCCGCTGTCAGCTCCGACGACCGTGCTCCCCCGCTACGACGGCCGGTATCCACGCGAGAAAAGCCACAGGAAGAGAAGCTATCGCTGTTCAGCCCGTCCGAGTACCAAGAAACGGTCCCTGGCACCCAGCCAGATGTGGTTCTCGAGCGGCTCCAGAAGCTTCAGGCTGAGCTTGAGCGGGCACTCAATGCCCGGACCATGGCACTCGTGTCTTCGAGGGACAAGACGCCGTCCCCCCCGCATATCGTGGTGAAGTGGGTTGACTACACCAACAAGTTTGGTCTCGGCTACGTCCTCAACGATGGAAGTGTCGGGTGTATCCTCCGCAGTATCCCGTCACCAGAGAGTGCTGAGCCCGGCATGCTGCCCCCCGCTTGTTTGCTCGTCCATGATGCCGAGCGTCACTGCCTGCGCAAGGACGACCCGAACTACAGCGGACGCCACCAGATCGTGCCCATGAAAGAAGGCATCTATTTCTACGAAAACAACGGGGAGACCGGCATCTCCCGCGTCCGGGTCGCTCCGGAGAACTTTATCCTCCCTGTCCACGCAGACGGCACTGTTGGCAAGCTCTCGGCAGGGCGCGACATCTACGACCACCGAAAACGCGAGCGCATTGTCCTCTGGAAGAAGTTTGCCAACTACATGATCGCCTACGGCCGCGAGATGGACAGCCCCACCCAGCAATCGACACCGACAGCGACCGACGACGCAGCCATCCGCGTACCGACCATCACGGACCCCACGGCGGTGCCCGCAGACGTCGTCACCTTTTACCAACGGTTCGGCGACGTCGGATGCTGGATGTTTGCGGACGGACACACGCAGTTCAACTTCCCGGACCACACCAAGATCGTGCTCGACGCCGCGGGCGTCTGGTGCCACTTCTGGCACCTCCCACAAGACGCAGCCCGCCGCCTCGACGAGACGGGCTCCCTCGCCGAATCCGCCCTCGACGACCGCGCCGTACTCTCCTACCCGCTCCAAACCCTCCTCAACTTTGCCAAGCCCTCCTCCTCCTCCACCTCCTCTCTCCGAAGCAGCGGCGGCACCGGCGCCGGCACAAGAAGCGTCAGCGCGAGCGCGCGGCGGCGGCCCGAGATCGCCCCGGAGCTGCAGGGCATCCCCGCGGCCAACCAGTTCCGCAAGAAGATGGAGTTTGTGCGCGACGTCGTGCGCGAGTGGACCGCCAACGGCGGGCTCGGCAACTCGGACCTGAGCCGCGAGCGCCGCCTGCGCTGGACCGGCGTCCGCGAGACCCGCGGCGTGCCCATCCCCGCCAAGCATGTGTGGGTTACCATCGGGGCCAGGGGGGGCGATGAGCGGTTGGCGGCTATGGTGGATCCCAGGACGCCCGGCGTGATTGGGGAGGATGTGGATGAGCGGAGGAGGTAGATGTTTTGGTGAGGTGGGGGAAGAGATATATATGATGCACCCTTCGTGGATACCAGACCTCGAAGGGGGTGTTGATTGTTTGTTTCGTTTTGTTTCGTTGGTTTGGCGTTGGCTGGGGCTGTTTGTTGTTGTCGTTGTTGCTGTTGGTGTTGAGCGCGGCGGCGTTGGGGAAGAAGAGCACGAGGCGTTGCTTGCTTGCTTGCTTGCTTGGGACACGTTATGACGAGATGATTCCTCTTTATTTCTTTTCCTTTTTCTTCTCTGCTCTCGCTCTCTCTTAATTTTCCTTGTGGAAGAGAGGGAGGGGAGACCTAGTTGACTGGGTGAACGGTGACCTAGACGGGGGAGGGTGTGTTAGACACTGCTTGGTGGTCTGGCGGCGTGCGCTTGCTTGCTAGCATTTCGGGCCTTCGCGGCCTCTTCTTTGTTTAATTCCCTGTCAATCTTACTTGTTGTGCATACTACTAGCTAGGCAGCCTGTATGTAGATACCGTTTTGTGGTCCTTGCTTGTTTCCCACCCTCGCCCCCAGTTGTGATATTGCCAGGCAGCGGTGAGCTTAGCATTCAACACTCATGTCTCTCTCTTCAAAGTTATCATACCGGTGGGTTGTTTCCCTGACTGATGCTGCCCACAAACAACCATGCCCGAAACCAAATATATGCCCCGCAGGGAACTGAACTCTCTTCCCCGCCTCGAACAGACAGAAGGCGGCCCTTGGTGCTCAGTCGAGAATCTCCAGCGGTTGTTCCCAAGTCTGGCCCAAGGGCTTCTCCAAGGCGTGTTCCAAGGCCTGCTCCACAGGCTTTCCCAAGGTTTGCCCCAAGGGCCGCTCCACAGCCTGTTCCCAAGGCTGCTCCAACAACTCATCGTCTGCCATCGACGTCAACTTGGCATCAAGCCAGGTCTTAAAGGCAGAAGCCGAGTTGGACATCTCGTCGTGGTTGAAGTTGTACTCCTCAAACGCCCGCACTTCATGCCATTCACATCCCAGGTTAGCCAGCCAACCAAGCAATCCAATCAACAACCGCGGGGGTAACAGCCGTCGGCCTGAGGGAGGGGGGAACGGGGGGGTGAAGGAAGAAGGGGGGAATGTGTGTCCTTGAAAGAACCAAGAAGCAAACCAAAACTCACTATCATACACGGGCGCCCCATTCACCCAATCCTTGCCCGTCAGCCGCGAGTACTCCTGTATGCGGCCCGCTCGCTCGGAGCGGATGGCCTCGTACAGCTTGAGGCGCTCGGGCACCTCGTGGGGCTCGGTGCCCATGGGCAGGACGGCGGCGAGGGCGGCGGCATCCTCTATGGCTTGGGCGCCGCCTTGTGCTTGGTCTGTTGATGGGAAGGTCAGCATCGACTTGTCTAGTCGCGCGCCGTACACGCCGAGACTGAGACTGAGACTGAGGCGGGGCATGGCGGGCTGGCTCTGGCTCTGGCTTACAGGGTAGGCAGGGGTGTGCTGCGTCGCCCATGAGGGCGAGTTTCGACGATGTCCAGGTGGGGAGGGTCTCCATGTCGAGGAGCTGCCAGGCTTTTATTGTGGTCTTGTCGGCTTTGCGGAAGAGGGTCAGCAGCCGCTCGTCGAAGTCGCTGAACGCGTTGAGCACCTCCTCGCGTGTAGCAGCCCTGCCCCAGTCTGGGAAAAGAAAAGGGGGTTAGCATGTGCGCGTTCATGGAGCGGTTGAGGGGCGGCTTTTGTCGTACCGTGGTTGGGGAGTGTTTCTGAGACTGGGTCGGGGTAGATGCAGACAAAGTTCAACCACTCGTTGTTTTGGCACGGATACATGACGATCCGCCTGTCGTCTGCGAACCAGGTGGTGAGTGTGTCTTTCTGGTTGCCTAGTGATTCTGTCTCGGGACTGAATTCGACTAGGCATGAGGGAATAAGGAACCGGAAGGCTGCTTTGCCGGTGCGGAACAGCTCCGTTTGCTTGATGGCCTCTCTCGTTTTTGACTAGAGCACAACGTCAGTCCCAGTCGGTATGCACAAATACCTACTCATAGCCATGGGAACAACCCTACTTTAATGCCGTCGGCCCCGATGAACACATCAGCCGATACCAGTACACCGGAGTCCATATGAACCCCCACATGTGGCTTGACGTCGACAACACGGTGTTTTGGGAGGAACTCCACGGGCTCCCCAACACCCTCCGCTGATGTGGCAACTCTCTTTAGTTCCCGGTGAAGAGCAGGGCGGTGAACCATCTGCCGGGGGTAGCCCCAGCGTGCGTTGGGGACGGTGAGATCAACGTCTTTGATCACATCGCCGCCCTTGGTGCGTTCAACATAGCGAGACATCAAGCTTGGTTCCAGGTTCTCGGTCTTGATGCCCCAGCGCGGCAGGATGCGGGTGACGTTGGGGGAGAGGTGGATCGCCGCCCCGACGTCGCCAACAATGTTGTATTTGTCCATGACCTGCGTGTGAGTGTCAGTCGGGGGTTTCCATGGATACGAGGATACCGGTATATCGAGTCTGGAGGGGTAGGGAGATGCACCAAAACCTTGTGACCATTCCGCCGCAAAGCGATGGCAGCGGAAAGCCCACCAATCCCACCGCCGATGATGAGTATTGCCAAAGGACGGTATTCTAGGTCCTCCTCCTCCATGCATACCAAGCTTCCAAGCTCCGACCCTTCCATGTCTCCCATGGCGAGCAATGAGGCAATTACGTTAATACTTGTTAGAGAGTCAAATTGATTCGGACGAGCCTGCAATTTGAAGGGTATTATCAAAGCCGCGGGGAGGTTATGTTATGTAACACAAACGGGAGTCCGGAGTCCGGATATGAACCTGACCTGGAAGCTATCAGGCTGTGTTCTAGGCTGGGCAGCCAAAGTAAGGCAACTGCTAGATGGGCAGTGTCTAACTACAATATCAATTGTGGGAAGGTGTAGGAGGTGCCCGATCATTCTTGCAAAACAGGCAGCGCACCCCTTGCACATCAACCAAGGCCGCTGATGCATGCAGGTATTACAAATTACCCGAGCAATACTAATAATACCTATCACATGGACCAACGCATACCCAAGATAACTGAGGCAAAACACAAACGCCAACCATGCCAATGGCTACCACATCAGAGAATAAGACTTGGTGATCCGGCGCGCGGTCTCCCAGCCGTAGTGCTCCTTCTCGGCTTCGAAATATGCCAACTGCTCCTGCACCTTCTTTTCCAAGAAAGCCTGACGTTCCTCTGAAGCGTCGATAAAGGCTCGAACGCGTGGGATTACCTCGTCGTCCAATCGCTTTTCCAACTCTTCGTCTGTAGCATTACGAGGACGGGGTACTGTCTTTTGAAAAACGAGTTCGCCGTACACAAGGAAGGCATAATCAGGATAGTTGAGTCCAATGGCAACACCGGGGTGGCACCTGTTTGGTCAGTCTTTTTAGTTATATCCTTAGCTGGAGGAAGGGAGCTAACAACTTACCACGTCTCCAGAGGCGGCCCACTGGGTCGATAGGAGTGGAGGAAGACCTAGTGCTTTCTCCCGTTCCTGGACGGCTTGACGGAGGTAAGCGACTTGTGTGCAATACGCATGTTTGGCAAGCATCACAAATTCTATATTGCCGGCATTGAGCCATATAGGGGGCATCATGAGCTGGCCTGGCACCACCCGGCTCCATTCCCAGTCCAGGACGCCAACGAGTTTGTAGTCTTGGTCAAACAGGACATTTCCTATGACTATATCCATGTCTCCGTGTACTAACAAGTACGCAACGTAGCCAAGTGCTGTGTCAGCCAGGTTGTTGTCATGTACGTCAAGGAGAGGAGCTAACATACCCAGGACGAATGGTCCTTTATTGGCTGACTGATCCAACCATTCGTCTTGAATAAATTGCTTAAAATGGTGAGCGGCATATAAAACAGAGTCAGGTGCCCTATCGTCCAGTGCTTGGTCGCGTTCCTTCTCAAGCTTGTTGTTTGCTAGCCATAGGAGGCCATTCACAAATTCCCTGGCCGTGGAGAAGGTTCGCTTGGGCGGGAAGACTTCGGCAGGCTCTAGGCCATCGAGCTCTTGGTCCGAGATCTCGACTGAGAGCGGCCGTTGGTACACACCGATTTCTTCTGGGCTACAAGATATGGCCGAGATATTACGAGAACTTAGCCCCAAGGCCCCGATTCGGGGAAACTCGAGTTGCCGAAGCTGGATGTAGATATCGGTCCAGTTGCTGGTGGATAAACTTCGCAGTGGGAGTCTGAGGCCCTTCCAATCGGCCAATCTCGCCGAAGGTGTGGCTACTATCCTTTCCCCCGAACCCTAGGGCTTTGAGATTCTGGCCGTCAATGTAGTCCATAATGATAAAGGGCAGCCCATTCAGTCCTGTGTCAGAGAAGGCGTAGGCATGTACTCTTGGGATGGGAATTGTAGTTTTGGCCGACACATATCTAGAAAAGCATGGGGTTACGCTTAGCCGGAGCGTTTGAGCGAGTGATCAGAAAAGCTTCTGCTTACCGCATAGTCGCCAATTCAATCTCAGTCTTTTCGTCCAGGACGGCCTTGGGTACCATGACGGGGATTGGGATCCGGACCACCCATCGTTCTGATGTGGACTCGAACTCAATAAAAAAACAGACGTTGAAACCGCCACGCTTGCGCGGACGAAAGATGGTGCATGGGTCTCCGTGGTGGAAAGAGGAAGCCAGGCGACAGATTTCACCATCATCGAGAGAATCGACCCATCGATCTCGCTCCTCGTCCAATTTTTCGGATTTCATTTCGTCCCTCATAGTGAAACTGTGGAATTGAAGGGTTGGAAGATGGGTACGGACTTGTTGCTTAAAAATTCGTGATGTGTTTGTTGGTCGCTTAGCGCACAGCGAACTTGAAAATGGGAGAGAATGGAATGAACGAGCGCAGATTCAGGCGGTTCTGCTTAGGTAGCGGAGTTGTTGAGTGGCTGTGGGCTGTTGGCTGTTGGCGTGCTGCCAAAAATAGGCAAGCTGCAAAGTGTGTAGCTACCTATGTATGTCCATGTGTGTATCTTCCTCATTTATCACCGGGGTACACAATCGAATTTAACTGCCCGTGCACTCGCAAGAAAAGTCCAGATTTTCAATATGAACATCATGCCCGGAGTATATCGCTTCATGTACCATGGTTTTTTGGTCCAGGGCCACGGCCCATGGCCATGGCGAGGATGGATTATGGGTCCATTAACCTACCTACCCTATTTTAGAAACCCAAGACCAACCTCACCATCCCTCATGCGTCACGCCTCAAAGTTGACCAGATCCGAGGCTTAACTAAACCATCACTTGACGGCAAACCGAGACAATCTGGCCGACTCCCGAGGTCAACCACCCTAACACCCCCGCCAACTCCGTCTACGAGCCCCCGTCAACTCCGTCTTGAGGCTGTTGGTCCTTTTCCGCCGCAACAGTCCATGTTTTTGAATTGGCCGCAGAAGGTCGGTCAACCTTGCCGGGCTGCCCTCGCCCCTGGATTCTGAGGAGACAAGAACGGGGAAATACTGGGCTGAAACTTGGCCTTGGCCATCTCGAGTGATCTGGAAAGAACGTATTTCTGGAGATGTTGGTTTCAGGTGAGGCCGTGAGGGAGAGAGAATGTGTCGTGTATCGTTCAGTAAGTCTCGCCGTGTTGTTGATCCAGGTATTAAAGCTCGAGACGGACGCTTCTGTTCGAAACTTGCATCTCCCAAACACGATACCTTCAAGCCTCACCGAGACCGTTCTCTTACAGTCACCCTGCCCTTGAAAACTCTCGCTGGACGAGAATTCACACCTACCTTTATCTTTCTTGTTATATTCATTCTATATCGACATCGACCACAAATACAGCCAGCTCGTGAATCAAAACTTGTCAACCTCTCCAACTCAGTACAACATCCTCCTGATAATTATATCGCCGCGCTCTGACCGACATTTCACCCTGCCTGTCGGATACACTCATCCCCGCCAAATTCCCTAGACAAACTCCTGGCCGCTATGTCTTCTGGTGATCGGTATGGCAGGAGCTCGGATCATGAAAATGCAGAGGAAAGGGCCCTAAGGCGGATGCGGGATTTGAAAGATGCGCGGAAGCGGCAATATGAGAAACTCAACGACTGGGTCAGGGAGCAGGAAGCAGCAATGGCCAGACTGAGGCCGGCTCGTGACAGAGCCGAGGCTTCCCACGAGACCGTTATGAGCATGGTCAAGAAACTAAAAAACAAGGAAGCGGAGCTTCAATTAATGGCCGACTCCACGACGGAAACTAAATTCCGCCGAAGCAAGAACCGCCCTGCTACGGACGGTCGTGGCAACATGACCCCCGAAGCCAGGAGGCAGTACGAGGAGGACCGAGAGCGCAGACGACGTTTGACTCAACGGGAATACGATAACTTGTTGGAAATGTACCGAAGGTACAAAAGCGAGGACCAGGAGGCTCAAGAAGCGTACGAACAACTAAAAGATAAGCTCAAGCACAATGAGGGACATATCAAAAAAGTCAAGCAACACATCCAGGAGCTTGAGGCCGAGATCGACGAATTGGAAGAGTATCTACACGGACAGGAACGGCGCCGTCGACAACAGGATCAGAACCCGAAGTTCCCACCGCCGGATGGCTCTGGGGGCGGCAGTAGCGGAGGATACGGTGGCGGCAGCCGGGGCCGTGACGCCCCGTTCGGGTACGGCGGCGGCGGCTATGTAGCCAGGTACGATGCCGGATCCCGGGGTGGATCGGGCCACGGGTCCCAGGCGTACGGCGGCTCGGGCGGATACCACAGGGCGGCCGGACAGACCCACGCGACGCCGGATGGGAAGACCAAGCAGGATGTCGCCGGCAGGCTTGCCGCTCTCGACCTGGGCGGCGAAAAGCACCGTCGCGAATCCAAGCCGACGGCTTCCAAAACTTCCAAGACCAAGTCCGCCGCTGGCACTACTGCTGGCGGGTCGCGGTCTTCTCGTCGCTAGATGGGGATGCCTGGCCGGTTTGTTGTGTATTGGTATGATTACCTGGGAGCCGTGTTTGATTTTTTGTTATGGTTTGTGAGGGTTTAATCTGACTACTTGGGCTGGTTCCCAATTTTGACCCCGGGAATTTTGAAGTTCGGGAGTCAGGACTCAGGAGTTTGGACTTTGTTGTGCTTTCATGTTAGCATCGAACCTCTCCAGACAAGCACCAGAGGAGTAGAACTATCTTTGGCAGCATTATGTTGTAATCATATCTTTGGGTTTGCTTCTTTGCTAGAAGGTGGCTTTTTCGGTTAGAAATGCTAAGGAAATGTGCTCGTAGGTTTTTTTTGAATCAGTCCTGGCGTGGGTTTCAAAACCGATACGGATCCGGAAGTTCGGGATATCAACCGCCGGTCCAGATCCTTTTTCTAGCCCCCTAGAGACCTACTAGTAGGTAATAGGCCGGTGACCCGGAACCCACCCGGGCCCCAAACCACATCCCGACTCCTCGCCGCCAAGGGGGCTAACCATGCAGCTGCTGACTTGGTCGGCGACACGGCGATTGCGAAGCCCCGACCAGACCGGCCGGACCCGGAAATACCGGAGCCGGAGAGTCACACCGTGCACTTGATGACGGGAAGGATTCTGATTCCCACCAGCAATACAACATGTGTGGAAAGCATAAATAGTACCAGCCTTTTCGAGTAGTCAAACTGTCGCTTGCAACTATCTATGTACATACCTCTACTACCACATTCACATTTTATACCAATCTTCGATCTGCCCAAAGAACTGAACCAACACCCGCCATGGAATCCAACCTCACCAAAGCCATCGTTCACAACGAAGGCTGTGACCTGCACTACTTCTACCAAGGCCAGGGGCCCCTCATTACCTTCATCCCCGGCGGGAACGGCCACGGGCGGCAGTTCTTCAACCTCATGGCCGCCCTGTCCGACAAGTACACCTGCGTGACCTTCGACCGCCGCCAGATGTCGGCCAGCCAGGTCAAGGTCAACAAGAAGCTCAGCCCGCCGCAGCAGGCGCGGGACATCCGCGCCGTCATTCAGGCCATGGGCTTCGCCAAGTCCATCCTCTTCGGCAGCAGCAGCGGCGGCCTCTTCGCCTACACCTTCGCCCACGACTTCCCGCACATGGTCGACCACCTGATCGCCCACGAGGCCCCCACCACCTCCCTCCTCCCCGAGGCCTCCGACGTCTTTGAGCAGTTCCTCCGCCTCATGGAGCTCTACCAAACCGAGGGGCTGGAGAAGGTCTCTGCCGCGTGGAGCGCTGGGCTGATTGGGTACGACGACGAGGGAGTCCCCAAGACGGTGAGGCCGGAGCCCGGGAACGCGCTGAATTTCTGGGAAAACGAGTTTCCCTCGCTGCTGGGCTATACGCCCAACTTCTGGCGCATCAAGCAGAACGGTACTAGCATCGGCGTGATGAGGGGTGTTCGATGCAAGGATGCCTCTCTTTGCGAAGGCCACCGAGGAGCAGGCCAAGGTTCTGTGAGTGCACCAAGATGCTGGTGCCGGGGCACCACCAGGGCTTTGAGGTCGAAACAAAGGAGTTCCTGCCTTCCTTTTTGAACATGTTGGACATCTTGGAGAAGAAGAGGCAAGAGGCGGCGTCGGGAAACTGATGGTTAGCCTGGGAAGGGGAGCAATGTGTAATTCGATAGGGCATGAGGGGTGTTTGGCTGACCAAATATGACCAGGGGGCTTAATCCAAGCAACACCCATTCCACACGGACCGAACCGAACAGTCGCCACCTCAAAGACCATGAAAGCACAACTTGACCCCTTGTTCCCTCGCCCACGACGCCCAACCCCCCCACCCCTTCACTACATTTACAAATCCGCACATCTTCCTCTCCGAGCCGACAAAAACCCCACCCCCCTTCATCACCAAGACCACCACAAACCAAACCATAAACCACAAACCCTCAAACCCTCACGCCCCCCCTCTGCCATATGCCACTCCGTCCCGGACCCCCTTACCCCGACTCTAGGCTGGATCAGACTCAAGCGCACCTGTCCACTGGTGGGTTCGTGGGGGAGCTGGGACAGACGACACGGCAGGCAGGTTTTAGTTGACCGGCCTACGGTGGCGGCAGGGCGGGGCGCCGGGATGCGTTTGCTCCCGCTGCTGCGCCGCCGCCGCCGCCGCGGCTGTTGTTGTTGGTATGGCGAGGATGGGCGGGGTGGGTGGTGGTGGTGGTTGTAGTCGTGACGGTGGTAGTCGTGGCGGTTGTGGTAGTTGTGGTGGTGGTTGTGGTGCGGAGGAGGCGGTTGCGTGAGGTGGTGAGGCGGGTGGTGTGGGTTTCGTGGGTTGTTGAGGTTGAGGTTGTGGTTGGGGGGGCGGGAGTGGTGGCTGGTGCTGGTGCCGGTGCCGGCGGGATTTCTAGGAAGCGGGAAACCCATGCCGGCTGCGAGGCTCGTCTCGGGGCGGGGTGCAACAAGGCAATGGTGTTGTTGTGATCCTACCTCCAAGGGGAGGGGAGAGGGTCTTGTGCCCGACCGGATGGCCCATGGTGTTCTTGACGGAAGGCTGGTTCGGGGGTGGGGCAGGAGGGGGGACGTACTCGGGAGATGACGGGTGCTCCAAATCATCAGCGATGGCCCTTGGGCTGGGGGCCCTTGGTTCTTGCTCCGGGGCCTCGCGGCCTCGCCAATCAACCGGGCTAAATGCCGATGGAACGATAGCGGGGAGGGAGTGGCGGTGCTGATTGTCCTCCAAGAGAGCGCTTGGTGTGCCGGTGGTCGAGTTGCGTTGTGTTCTTCTTCTGGGTGTGTAGACGAAATCGCTGGGCGACAGAGAGGGTCGGACTGAGTGGGCAGAATCCATCATTCAAGTTTCCCGCGGTTGCCTGCTAGAAGATGATACCGACTAAACAGCGCGCCATGTCGTTCTTATGTGCATCACAGACAAGGGGCGCCCTGAGCCAAAGCGAACCCCATGACCAATCGGGACCGCGCCGTGGTTAACAAGGAGAGGTCAAAGTGTGTTTGAGACAGTATAATCACGTCGATTTTTGTTATGGTACTTCTAACTACGTCTACACGTTCCAGATGACAATGCGCCCATCGACACCGCTCGCTGGATCTGGTTAGTGGCTGAACATGATAAAAGGGAGACGACTTACAGCTGAACTTCCGCACGGAATCTCCGGACGCTTCGTACGGCCGAATCATCGTGATGGTGTTCTGGTGGGTGGTCTTCAGCTGCGTGTCGTCTTTGACCTTGCCCTTCAGGTCCATCTGCCGAAACATGTTCAAAGCCGACTCCTCGCGCTGGTCGCCTGCACCCGCACCGCCTTTGCCTGCGACCGCGCCGCTGAGTTGCCAGCCCTCGAGACCGCCATGGAAACGGAAAGCCTCACAGTCGTGGCCGGCAGCAATGATCTCAGCCTCGCCGTTCCAGATCAGGCTCATGAACGGCAGCAGCTGGGTGTTGATGCTGATGACGGCCCTGGGCGGCTGCTCGGGGGCGCTCGGGTAGACAACCGTGATGCTGCTGTCATGGGCAGCAAAGGCGAGGGCATCCCCGCTGGGGGAGAAGGCGACAGAGTGGATCCACCCGGCCGAGTTGTTCATGTACTCGCCGCAGACGGTGTTGAAGGGGAGCCTCTCGCCCCAGGCGGTGGGCTCGGGTCGGGCGTCGACGCCCTTGATGAAGCTCGAGAAGACGCGGGCGTGGGCGTCGGTCGAGCCGGCGGCAAGGAGGACCGAGTTGGGGTGCCAGGCGAGGGTGGTGACGGTGCTGCGGATGGGCTTTTTCAGGTGCTTTGACACCCACCAGTCGTTCTCCTCCTCAAAGTAGCAGACTGCGATGAGGCGGTCTCCGGAACCGACGGCGAACTTGGTCTCGGACGGCGACCAGCGGACGAAGGTGGCGGCACGGTTGATACGCAGCAGGACGAGCGTCGGCTTGTAACCCTCGGGGGTGGGTTCCCAGACGATGGCATTGCGGTCTTGCGAACAAGATACGATGCGGCCAGAGTTGGGGGCAATATCGATGCTGGTCACTGTCTTGTCGTGGCCCTTGAGCTCGTCCTTGAGCTTAAAGGCATTGCCAACCTTGCTATAGAGCTCGACGGTGGTGTCGCGGGCAATAGCTAGGGTCTTGTGGTCGCTCGAGAACGAGTGGTCTGCGATTGGGTTATGGAACAGGTGGTGGACCTCGGGCGCAGCCATCTTTTCAGGTTAGGTTGCGATAGGAGTAGCTCTCTACTACCGCAGTCGTCGTAAACTGTTGGAAGGGAATTGTGTAGATTCGAGTTGGGGAGAGTGATTCGGATGGGGGAGCTGACGTTGACGGTGGGGAGCTGGTTAATGGTGGGGTTAAGCCCCTGTCACAATGCTGCTTGGCACTCGGGGGCTCTGGTCCCCAATTTTTAGCTTGAACAACATCCTGGGCTAAACAGACACGCGACTTTGACGACCGCCGCCGACGACGAACCCCCCAGTGTTTCGCCTTGTATCCTCAATCAACACAACAAACCCAAAAACAAATCGATCTATTCGAAGAACTAAACATGGCAACGATGGCCACACGCGCCCCTCCGCCAGATCTCCCAGCAAAGGTCGCCTCGGTGCCGCCAAACCAGACTCTCTACGTCACGAACCTCCCATCTGCAAAGATCCAGAAGGAAGACCTGCGGACGGCGCTCTACATGCTCTTCTCGACCTATGGCGCAGTACTAGATGTAGTCGCCCTCAAGACGATGAAGATGCGTGGTCAGGCGCACATTGTGTACAAGGATATCCAGACAGCAACCCAGGCAATGCGATCATTGGACGGGTTTGAATTCTTTGGGCAAGAAATGGTAGGCCACTGCTCTCCATCCCAAGTCTGCTATAGTACTATCGTGCTAACCCAGACAGAAAATCTCGTACGCAAAGTCAAAATCCAACGTCATTGCCAAACTCGATGGCACGTTCAAGATCACTACCGCCGCAACTGCCGCCCGCGTCGAGGTTACCGATCTGCAGCAGAGCATTTTCAACGCGCCCGTACCCGGAGCGCCTGTCGCGGCGCCCGGCCTCCCCTCCAAACCGCCAGGGGCTGACCATGTGATGACCGATGCCGGTACCCCAGAGAGCCGCGGCGTCAAGCGGCCGAGAGAGGAAGAAGAGGAGCAGGAAGGGAGCGACCAAGACGTGGCGATGGAAGAGGAGAGCGACGACGAATGATACCCCCCCATGCGAGCGTGCCCCAAGCAACAAATAACCCGTGGCAAGTACGGCGCCTATCGTCGGAGGGCATCACCGTGGGGTCATGCCACGGGATGGCGTGCTGTTCTGGATGTTACCTGATTGCCATCTCTGGCGGGACCCACAGCCCAACGCACTGCCCGACTAGGCCCAGCCATACGGAGATGTATACCTCCTTTGGGCAATCGAAGTCACACATGGCCTCGCCATGGCGACACGGGTGGATGAAGAAGGTTGGGGCTCCGGTAACCGGGTGATGCTGCAACGGTTTGTGTTAGTCTAGGCCATCAAATAGGATCTCGGTTAACCACCAGTATCTAGCATCGCCGAGGAACTCGGGTCCAAATGATAAAAAAAAGGGACCTACGCCGAGCGAGATGCCATCCAAGGTGCCCGTGCTGGCCCGCATTCCTGCCTTGAAGTGGTCTGGCACCAGTCGCCGAAATACCGTGTCGATGCTGAGGGGATCCTCGTCTGCGGGCAGGCGTATAAGCTGACCACAGCCAGCGTCGTATGTTCGGTGGATGTGGCTCGTACCGACGTGGCCGTGTTGTCCAACTGGAATCCTTTGGGCCGGAAGTTGCTTGACGATGACGGCCTTGTTTGTGTGCATTGGCAACATGAGCTCCCAGACCATTCATTATTACGTCACCCATTATTGTTTACGCACCTGGTCAGCCTCCTCGGTCGACAGCATCTCGCTGTCCCTCTCGTTCAAGTCCAGATCCATTTCTCGGTTTGTTCGGTGCTCGTTAAAGGAAAACCCGTCGAGATACGAGGATAAGTCCCCGTCATCCGGGTTTTCTAAGGGCCGAGTAATCTGGAGCCATGTGTACCGCTCCGGGCCAAAAGAGAAAACGATGGCCGGCTCGACTGCCGAGATAACATCTACGCGCCATCGCCGCCTGGTCTCCCCAAGATCTGCCTGGCGATATTGTCTGTCGAAATGGTGGCAGACCTCCACGAATTCCTGGTCAGCCAGGTAGGGGTAAGAAGAGTAACTGTGATCGCCTCGCATGCTGTTGTTTGTGGCGTTTAATTTGAAAGCGAAGGGGTTTGTGTGGACAGTTGGATGATCGGATGAGAGTTTAGGTTGGTTTGTGGAAGATGGCAAGAGAGACGTGACTTAAATCTCACTTTCCTTACAATTAGGCCCCTCGATGCCCGAGAGAGAGCTTGCGTCACATGGTTGGTTAGCTTTTCTCAAATCTGTTGATCATCTGATTCCTGATACCACAGGCCGTGGAGTGGTTGATCCATCTGCTCAAGTTCATGACGCATACCTAGGAAGTAAATTTCAGGGGGTGGTAAATGTATTATGGATGACTGTTGCATGTGCGTAGGTAAGCTACATCCGTCCGTATGCCTGTATGTACACTACATAAAATATCCTGTCTGGGGTGGTGCCCGAGATGTCCGTGCGCCTTAACCGGTACGGGCCGGATCATCCGGTGGGTTTTCTTGGGACAGATCTGCACTGTGCCAGTGTAACATTATACACGATCAAACTCTCTTTTCACGCAGCACACGACCTTTTCAGAACACATCTCCCGATCTCGCGACCTTCACCAGGGGGAGACAAATTCCCATTGACCGCCAACGGTGATAGCCACCGCCATGTGTTGCCGGGCGGCCGCAGCAGCATAGTTATTCTACCAATAATTGCCAATGAACGTTCGAGACCCCTTCAACCTCCGAAACGGCAGCTTGAATCGGCCCCCAATCGCCACCTGGAGGAGCAACAAGAGCTACCAGGCCCAGAACAACACCAACAACTTTGCCCCCCTGCACCACATCATCCGCACCGCCGCGGCAGCAACCCAATCCGCCGCCGCCGACCTCCGCGACAAGGCCAGCGAAGCCGTCCAGTCCGCCCAGCAAGCCCTCACCGACACCGCATCCAACACCCCCCTCCTCGCCATCGACAGCAACATCAACCTCGACCTCGAAAAAGCCAGCAGCCCCAAACCCCACAAACCCCACAAACCCACCCAGCACCGACCCAAATCCCAGCCCAACAACAACAACACCACCACCCTCCCAGCGGTCGGGGCCCTCCCCAAGAACGCACAAGACCAGGAGGACATGTCGTTCGCGATCCCGAAAAATGTCCCCTCCTTCTCCAACCCCCAACGCCAACTCGAAGACCACGTTTGGGGAGCCTCCCAATCTCGGCAACGCTCTGCCGCCTCCCTCGTAGGCGGCGTGCAAGACTTTCTCGGCGGCGGTGGCGGCAGCAACAGCCGCGCCGGCCTGCCCATGTACAAGGACAAGCCGTACATGTACCCCCCCGGCGGCGGCGGTCTGCGCGGTGGGTGGGGGAGGAGGCCGGTGTATCGGCGGAAGAGGACGTGTGGGTTGATGTTGGTGGTGCTGGTGGGGTTGGTGTGGTGGACGGGGGTGTTTGCCGGGCGGGGGGAGAGGGCGGTGGGGAGGCTGGGTGCGTGGGGGGTCGTTGGCGCAGGAGGAGGGGGGGAGTAGGGTGGATTGGGAGGGGAGGAGGGAGAGGGTGGTGGAGGCGATGGAGCTGAGTTGGGATGCTTATGAGCGGTATGCGTGGGGTGAGTCGTTCTTTTTTTGGGGGTGGGGGGTTTGGGTTTGGGGCTCTGGGAGATGGGTGGCCAGGGGTGTGGTGATTGGGCTTATTGACTAACATGGATTCTAGGCCAGGATGAGTTTCATCCCGAGTCCAAGACGGGGAGACAGATGGCGCCGAAAGGGTTGGGGTGGATCATTATCGACTCGCTCGACACGCTGATGATCATGAACTCGACCAAACGGCTGACGCACGCCCGCGAGTGGCTGTCGACGGCGCTGACATGGGATCAGGACCAGGATGTGAATACATTTGAGACGACCATCCGCATGCTAGGAGGATTGCTGTCGGCTCATTACTTGTCGACCGAGTACCCCGACCTCGCACCCATCCCGGACGACGACCCTGGGAAACCGGGAGAGGACCTGTACCTGGAGAAGGCGAAGGACTTGGCGGACCGGCTCATGGCGGCATTCGACTCGCCTTCTGGGGTGCCGTATGCTAGCGTCAACCTAGCCAAGTACAAGGGGATAGTCTCGCACGCCGATATGGGCGCGTCATCGACCGCCGAGACAACGACACTGCAGTTGGAATTGAAGTATCTCGCCAAACTGACCGGCGAGAAGGATTACTGGGACAAGGCCGAGAATGTCATGAAGTTGGTGGACGACAACGGTGCCAAGGATGGCCTGGTGCCCATCTTTATCTACGCTACGACGGGCAAGTTCCAGGGCGAGAACATCCGGCTTGGCAGCCGCGGCGACTCGTACTATGAGTACCTGATCAAGCAGTACCTGCAGACCAACAAGAAGGAACCCATCTACCAGGAGATGTGGCGGGAGGCGATGCAGGGCGTCAGGAAACACCTCATCACATACACAGAACCCTCCCAGTTCACCATCATCGGCGAACGGCCCAGCGGTCTGGCCGGCGCACTCTCCCCCAAGATGGACCACCTCGTCTGCTTTATGCCCGGAACCATCGCGCTGGCAGTGACAGGCGGCCTTACCGAGAAAGAAGCTAGGAAGCTCCCTACCTGGAGCAAGCAAGACGAGGACGACATGCAACTCGCGCGTGAGCTAATGCACACGTGCTGGGGCATGTACAAGTACATGGCGACGGGCCTAGCGGCCGAGATCACCTACTTCAACATCGGTAACCCACACCTCCCAGAATCAGCCCCGCACAAGGCGCCCGAGGAGTTCGACCCCGACCCGGAGGCTACCTGGCGCAAGGACTTTGACGTGCGGCCCGCCGACAACCATAACCTGCAACGGCCCGAGACGGTCGAGAGCCTGTTGTACATGTGGCGCATCACGGGCGACGTGCGGTACCGCGAATGGGGATGGGAGATGTTCAAGAGCTTCGCCAATTACACGGCCGTCGCCGACAACGGCGGCTTCACCAGCCTGTCCAACGCCAACAAGATCCCGCCCGTCACGCGCGACAACATGGAGAGCTTTTGGCTGGCTGAGACGCTCAAGTATATGTATTTGCTGTTCTCGCCCGACGACCTGCTGCCGCTGGACAAGATTGTGCTCAACACCGAGGCGCACCCGTTCCCGCGTTTCGATATGGGGCCGTTGTTTTCGACAGGCTGGACGAGGAAGCCGAGAGATGCGGAAGGGAGGATCGTGGAGTAAGAGAGGAAGGAATCTGACGAATCAATGTTTGAAATGAGTACATATTTTGGCACTTTGTACTGTACAAAAAGTCTGCGTGGCAATAATTGGAAGATTTGGAAAGCTTGTATCGGGGTTGGTGGCGTATCAACGGTCTCGGAACCATGAACAGCATGTGGTTGACAAATGATGTGAGACGCGGGCATGCGTTCCTCGTGGCGGTAATAGGGGCTTATGACAGATGGCATGCTCCTCGATTCTTGGAAACGGAGAGGAGCAATGGCCTGGTATCCCACATGGCAGTACTGTATTACACATGCTTGGAATTTCACGTCAAGAGCAATCCCTGCCATTGATGGGCAATGGACAGCGCATCAGACACACTCATCCCGAGCCAGGTCTTGCAGCAGACCCCTGAGGATTCAGACCCGGATAAGGAAGTTGGGAATCCTCAGACCTGGTTCAAAATTAACTTCCTGGTCAGTGGAAATGTCCAAGATGGCAGGTCCTAGTTGGATCGGATTGTCTCGAGAGATGTTTATGTTCATCGAGTAAATCTCTGTGATCCGGCTCAAGCCGAACCTTTCCGGCCCCCTTTTCTGCGCACTTCGTGTAGGTACCTAGGTAATGTTTCTCTCTGGTTAAAAAAAAAACCGAGCTCCATACGTAGGGATCACAGAAACATTCGACTGGAGGAACGAAAAAGAGAACTCTTCGGAAGCCTAAAGTTTACTTTTTATTTTAAGATTTTTTATTTCTTTCTCTTTTCTTGATCTCTTCTACTTCTTGCTCTTTCTTCTTAATTCCTTGCTCCCTTTTGAGTTCGGCTTTTTCTAGCCAGAGGGAGTGTGTGCAGCCAGGGAGCGAGGAAAGAAAGTCCACAAACAACCTTAAACAAGCAGGCAGATTGGAGAAGAAGCGCCACTCGCCAGGCACCGTTGTGACCCACACGAAGCATGGCAACCCCACACTCGATAACCCAGCATTTCCAACATTGAAGTGGGCCCTAGTCCCAGCCAAGCCTTTTGCTGACCTGCCATGCCTGCTTTTCTTCCCACTCCTTCACTGAACTCGCCGGTCCCGAGCGGTCTATCGGCAGCCAATCGTGCCAATCGCGCCAATCTAACAGCAGTGGAGATGCCCACTGCTGATGGTGCTGCCACTTCCCGATGGAGTCGGGGTCGGAGAAGGCTAGGCGTCTTGCTGATAAGTGGTTGTCATTCACGACGATCGACAATCGACTTTTTCTCTTGACTCAATCCTATGTTTGATTGTCGATTAATTGTCGAAACACATTTCACGACCCATCTCATCTCCAGGCACGACCCCAGTTGAGTCCCGTTGACCCCCGTTGACCCCCGTTGATCCCCCGATGGTGAGAATCATGAGATGAGACGGCGATGTGGGGGCAAACTGCTGCAAGCACGACTCTGTCAAGGACCAAGCAAGACGATCCCCCAGTGATCGGCCGGTCGAAGTTGGACTGAACGGAGGGCGCCATCATACAGAGTCCACAGTAAAATACTACGGCAGCTACATACAGTCGCATCACGGTTTCGTTTTCGAACTGCTGCTGCGGTTATATCCACTCCCAAGTCCGCTGGACAGCGGGAATCGTTCGAGTTCAAGCCGGGAATTCCAGGAGACGGAAGACCAGATAAGCAAACAAGCAACCGGCGACAGCATCCTCGCTCACAATGCCCTCCTCTCGCGATCTCGAGATGGCCGACTTGCGGCCCAAGGAGGACTCCTTCGCCCAGGGCAGCGTGCTGAGCATGCAGAACGCATCCTCGTACTCGCGCAACAGCAGCACCAACCACGAACAAGAAGGCCACCCCATCCGCCGCTGGCTGGACACCTTCCGCCGCGACCCCGGCCGCCATGTCACGCCCGCCTCCGTCATGCACACCGCCGAGGACCGCCGCCGGGCCTCCATGGCCACTCGCCGTTCCGAGGACACCCGCCCGTCGTTGGAGCGGCGAGGGCGCTCTCGCGGCCACTACTTTGACATGCACGCCGCTAACGTCGGCACCGCGAATACCCTACTGTCGCGCGAGCTGAAGGGGAGGCATCTGCAGATGATTGCTATTGGAGGTTCTATCGGTATGTCTTTCTCCGTATCTCATAGACACTGTACCCCCAACCGCCCCCACTCCCTGGGTGGCATGTAAGTTCCAGCTAACATGAATCGTCAAAGGCACCGGTCTGTTCGTGGCATCCGGAAAGGCACTCCACACAGGCGGCCCAGCTGCCGTCTTGATCGCCTACCTCTTCGTGGGCTGCATGTTGTATTGCACCGTTCAAGCCCTTGGTGAACTGGCCGTTACCTTTCCTGTGGCGGGTTCATTTTCGGCTTACTCGACGAGGTTCCTCGACCCAGCGTGGGGGTTTGCGATGGGCTGGAAGTGAGCACTCCCCCAGAGTATACTTCGTTGTCAACCAATACTAAACTGCCCGCCCAGTTATGCCCTCCAATGGCTAGTCGTACTGCCCCTTGAAATTATTGCCGCCTCTATCACCGTGAGTTACTGGAATAGCAACCTCGACCGCTCCATATTCATCACCGTCTTCCTCTTCGCCATCATTGTTATCAACCTCTTTGGCGTCAAAGGCTATGGCGAAGCCGAGTTTGTATTTGCCATCATCAAAATTACCGCCGTCATCGGCTTCACGTAAGCCCTCCCCATCCCAGCCCTTCTATGTCCCACCCCCTAACCCCCATCTCTACCAGCCTCCTAGGCATCGTGATCAACATCGGAGGTTTCCCCGACGATGGGTACATTGGCGGGCGGTACTGGGACAACCCGGGGGCCTTCAACAACGGCTTCAAGGGACTGTGCGCCGTTTTCGTAACAGCGGCCTTCGCCTTCACAGGAACAGAGCTAGTCGGGCTAGCGGCCGCCGAGACAGCCAACCCGCGCCGCTCTCTCCCCACCGCCATCAAACAAGTCTTCTGGCGCATTACGCTCTTCTATATCGTCTCTCTCACCCTCATCGGTCTCCTCGTTCCACACAACCACCCGCGCCTCCTCGGCGCTAAATCCGCCGCCGACGCCTCGGCCTCCCCCTTCGTCATCGCCATCGAATCAGCCGGCATAGCCATCCTCCCCGGCGTCATGAACAGCGTCATCCTCGTGGCCGTCATCTCCGTCGGCAACAGCGCCGTCTTCGGCTCCTCGCGCACGCTCGCCGCCCTCGCCGACCAGCGCCAAGCGCCCTCCATCCTCGGCTACGTCGACCGGCGCGGCCGCCCCCTCGTCGCCATCCTCGTCGCCTCCGCCCTCGGCCTGCTCGGCTACCTCGCCGACCTCGACGCCCAGTCCGACGTGCTCAACTGGCTGCTCGCCGTCTCCGGCCTCTCCTCGGTATTCACCTGGGGCTCCATCTGCCTCGCCCATATCCGCTTCCGCCGCGCCTGGCACGCCAAGGGCCGCAACACCCGCCAGCTCGCCTTCCGCTCGCAGGTCGGCGTGCTGGGGTCGTGGGTCGGGCTCGCGCTCAACGTGCTCGTCCTGCTGGCGCAGTTCTGGACCGCCGCCTGGCCCATCCCCCACCCGGATCCGTCCGGCTCGGGGAAGGCGCAGACGCTGGGTGGCGGGGGCGGCGGGATGGGCGATGGGGAGGCGGGCGGCCCGTTGGTGACGGGGGCCGGGGGCGTGGGCGAGGGCAGCGGCGGCGCGGCGGTCGTGCCCATCTCGGCGGCGCGGGATGTCGCGCAGAATTTCTTTCTGCAGTATCTGTGTGCGCCGATCGTGATGGCGTTTTATGTCGGGTATAAGCTGTGGTTCCGCACGCGGGTGGTGAGGGTGCATGAGATGGATGTGGATACGGGGAGGCGGGATTTCAACTTGCCGATTTTGATATCGCGCGAGGTGGATGAGAAGAGGGGGATGCCGAGGTGGAAGCGGGTTTATAAGTTTTTGTGTTGATGGGTGTATATCTGCACCCTTTTTTCATCATTCTTCTTTTTGGATGGGGACGCGGATCAGGGTGGTGGGTTGGCTGGGGGTGTCTGTCTGTCTGTGTGGTGGGACGGTGGGTGGTGCGTGCTATGGTTGGAAACTACGCACTCACGCGTCTGGCGTTGGTTTGGTTATGGTTATTATACCCGGGGGCTGCGGCGATAAAAGACTGTCTGCTTAATAGTTTAGAATTTACTTCTCGTGTTTTATGGAGGAATAGCGACGTGACCTTGGTGCGAAATTGGGCTTCAGAGCACAGGTCGAAGGACACCTAGTTTGACACGGCGTAATCCACAGAGAATACTGAGTTCCGATGCTCCCTTGCAGACCAAATTGACAGGTAGACATATAGCATCACACACAACAAGACCGCGGATACAATTGCTGCCGGTGTATTGGGCATGCTATCAGAACAAATAAGAAAACAACAGAAACAGATCCCGGGAATCCCAGATGCGATCCTCGACAGCGCCCCAAACGCAAACAGGTCTTGGTAACAAATACAGCCTGATAGTCCAACAAGAATTTGTCCGCCAGCCTAACGATTCTCCCGACTAGGGAAACAAAATCTCAGAAAGAAACCCAGCAGCTGTGGTTGGGTATGGACTGTGGTTCTCTCGTCGTGAGCCGCACATTAAAACGTCAATCGTCAACGGTCAATCTATCCGAATGCCCTGAATGCCCTCGCCGGAAGGGGTGGCGAGCCTGCCCCAACGTGAAAGGCACGCTCTGCTTAGAAGTCCCAAAAGTTATCCGCCGACCTGGTCGGTGGTCCGCGGCCGCCCTTCTTGTTAGTCGGCGCAGGCTCGTCGTCATCGTCCTCGCCGTGGAGCCAGCCGGCCCCGGTGCCCTTCCTGCCGCCCATGCCATTACCAGCAATCACAATACCACGCTCCTTGGGCGCTTGCTGGGTGTTGGAGTTGTCCTTCCTGCTGCCCATGCCATTGCCAGCAATCACGATACCCCGCTCCTTGGGCACTTGTCGAGTGGCGGGCTTGTCGTTCTCCTTGCGCGACACGGGCGACACGTCATAGTTGGACCAGCTGCTCTCCATCATGCGAACCGCCTTCTGGCGGTCCTCGGACACCTTGGGGGGCTCGTTGGTACCCTTGTGATGCGGTGACTCGTCCGTCATATTGAAATGGGGTTCAAAGTCCTTGTTCCGGTCCTTGAGGTTGGTGATGTTGCCGAGCGGAGCAGGGCCAGGGGAAGGGATGGTGCCGTCTTCGTGGTGCAGCCGGTTGTCGTACAGGTGCTCCCCCTCACTGTGCATTGCGCCGCGGGGCAGCCGTTTGGCATCGCTTGGCTCATCGCGCGCCGGGCCGTCGTCGATCAACTCAAAGTGAGCGTCTGCGTCGCGACGCGGCTTGATGACCTGGGGATGGGGAGCGGGGGTATTCTCAAGCACCTCGTTATCGGCGCCCCAGTGGCGGACGTCACGAGCACGGTTCATGCCACGAGAGGCAACGGGCTTCTGCGGCGTCACAAAATCGTCAAACGACCAATTGCTGCTATGCTTGCTCTTCCTGTTGTCGGGGACGGCCTTTGGTGTGGGCACATCTTGCGACTCAGAGCCGTCGTCAAAGTCGAAGTGTTGGTATTTCTTGGGGTCCGGACGCAGGATACGACCAGCTGACGGGGTCCGCTCGTGGGAATCGCCGGCAGTGTCGTTCTCGTCGGTATCGAAGAGGCGCATCGGTTGGAAATTCTTCCCAGCGCCGACCTTGGGTGCAATCACCTTGCTAGGGGATTGCGAGCGCTCGCGGCCGTTGCTGGGAGAGCCGGGCTCGTCGACGGGTTCGTCGCCCAGGATCTCGGTGAAGGACCGCTGGCGAGGTCTCCGGCCTGCGTAGGGCGAGACAATCCCGACAGGGTTGTTCTCCAGCTCCTCGCGCGGCGCGAACAAGTCTAGGGACGCATGGGGGTCGCGCATAGCGTTGGTCGAACTACCGCGAGAGCGCGTAGGAAGTGCCTCGGCGGGGAGTGCAGCAGCGCCGTGGCCCTTAGCGCATTTTGCGATGAGGCTGATCTGGTCCTTACCATCGCGGATGGGCCAATTCGCACCGGACCTCCCAATGACCTCGATCTGCTTCAAGAGCGCGCCTTGGTCCCAGTTCTGTCGAATTTGTGCGATTTTGCCGTCGTCATTGAACGTTACGATGTGGGTCTACAGAAAGGGTGCGTTAGTGGGACTGATCAACAACCCCGAAAAGCTTGCTACTCACAACGACGATATGAACGGTGCGGTCGGCCAGGAAGTTGTCGTCCAGGCCGGGGAGGTAGGGCCCCCCGCTGGTAACGAACTCCAAAGTGGTCTCGGCTTCGAGCGCGAGGGCCTGCTGGCTCTCAACAGCGAAGAGGGTGTCCTCCTTCTTCTTCTTGATCTTGTTGCGCACAGAGGACAGGTGCTTGATGATTTCGGTCGCACTGGTAAAGCTTGACGTGGTCGTGACGTAGTGCAGCGACGCGTCGTCGGCGAGGGCCGATGTGTTTGGCGAAGCTAAAAACCGCTTGTACGCAGCCTGCAGCGCCATGGTGCCGGATGTGTTCTCGAAAGAGGGTTTTACTAAAACAGCAATTCGGCTTCCAGGCCTGAAAGGTAGGTTGTTTGAAGAAGCAGAGAAGAAAACAAATGTCAGGTGCGAAGAAGTCAGAAGAACAAGCCGAGGAAAAAGAGAGCGGGTCCCGTTTTCAGAGTTGCGACGGAATGGGAGGGCCGGGGATGACAGGACGACGGGGAATGCATGGGGAAGGGGTAAACACAATCCATCACTCCCCTGGCTTGGCAGGCCCCAGAGTGCTTGCTGCAGGTGCAGTTGCTTTCAGGTTGCAGTTGCTGGTGTTTACTGCAGCCCTTTCCACTAGCGCCTCCTTAACAACGCCGTCTCCAGGGTGCCTTGTTTACTGTGTACACAGGCAGCAACAAAGTGTCTTCACACCATCCTGAAGTGCCCACTGAGCAGTCTCTTGGGTTCTTGGGCTTAGTTATACATAGCAGTTCCTAAACAAGGGCGGCCAGTATCCAATGGCCAGGGAGGCTTTGGGCCTGCCAGTCTCTTTTCTCTGCGGATGGCGCTCGAACTGATGGGCCACCACCGATCTCTTCGTTTCCTGCCCGCATCGCTTTCGGCTTTCCATCGAGCAGCCAAGAAGCAGACGTCACTTTGACCCCGCTCACAGGGTTCAATGATTGAAGGTACTGTACACTCTTATCGGCGTGATCCGATCTTGGAACTTAAAGATGGCAGCCAAAAACATTTAAATGCATGCTCACTGCAAAGTTGCAACCTGTCAACCTCGGGCCCAAAAAAAAAGTCCACAGTCAATGCAGGTCCGCGCCGTCAATGCAAGTCAGGCGCGTCTGCTTGAACCTGCCCTGCTTTGGTGGGGCTCACTTGCATTGCGGATCAAAGCCCCGCAAACCGTTCTGTTTCAGGGTGAGCCACGGCCAGGTAAAAGTCTCAGTTCCCAAGGCCGAACTAGCTATTCTTGGTTAGGTTCCTTTTGGCCCCGGCTTCCAAGCAATCTGGAAGGCCTGGACCCCCAAATCCGGCAAACAAACAACCACCACTAGCATCGTCAAGCCAAAACCCGACAAAATGGTCGTCCCACGTTGAAGAGTCAGGCTTAAAGGCGTCGAAATTGATGCAACAATGCGGCTCTTGTTATTTCCCCATTCTGTACCTCCTATCCCCAAAGTAGCCATCGGATCGATCGTCCAAATCGGGCGGGACTGGGTGGGCAGTTATCCACTCAGGTCTTGCTGCCCCTCTAGGCTCTCATCATGTGCATACGCACTCTTATTGCCCCAATTTGGTTCGCACGTCGCCCCAACCAGGCCGTCGGAACAGTAACTGCATCACGGTGCAAACAATGCCAGGTCGACAGCGATATTATGCCATTCGCTCCCAAAAACTCTTGTTTCAGGTTGGGCGACGCACCGTGTTAGTTAAGGCAGCCAGTCACGGGAGCCGTAATCTTAATCTCAGTCCGTCATGGTATGAGATGATGGTCTCAGACAGCCGAAGCCCGTCGTACCGTCCCAATGCGTTGGCTCGACGTCTCTGTTGCCCTTTTTTGCGGTCCTGGGCGGGGGAGGCATCGACAGCCAAACGGCTCTGTCATGACGAATCATGAGACTATTATTGCCACTCTTCTAGCGGCTACATGACATCGGAATGAAAGCTCGATCTCCATTCCTCCCTCCTAGCATGCCTGAATGGAACGGGATTTAAAATACCCTAGCTGCCACTCTCGAGCTGAACTGTAACCAACGCGTTGATCTCCTGGTTGCTTGAAGAGTTGCCATCTCGGCCCTCTCATCCGTCACTGCCTACCTGCAATACCTCATCAACACCAACACTCATCAACCGGTAGAACCGGTCCTGCACCGCCACCGCAACATCAAGCCATCAAGTTATCAACCACAGGGCCATCCAGCATGCTCATTCCACAACCCCCTCGGCCGAAAACCGCGGCACCAGTCCCGAAACCCCAAATCCACACGCACAAGAACCACCACACATACAACGGCACCCTCAAACTGCCACAATCGACACACGTCCGGATCATCCCTGAACCCCCTGCCGACAACCACAACAACAACAACAACAGCCCCAAGCCCGACCCCCGCACCCCACGATACGTCATCACCCTGCACTACGCCCACAACCGCGCCTGCGAGCTATACCGCACCGCCCACGACCTGGACATCCTCCGGCGGGCGCTCGGCGTGCCAGCCCACCCCAAACCGACACCCCCACCACCAAAAGCGACCACCGGCATCAGCAACCTCGGCAGCAACATCCAAACCGCTCCCACCACCACCACCACCGGAGAAGGACGACAAGCACAAGTCCAAGCACCAGGGAGAAAAAGCCGTAACCCCCTCCCTGCAAGCGCACCTGCTCCTGCCCCTGCGCGTGCGCCGCCACCAAGCGACAGTGCGATTATGCGCGGGAGGCGGCGTGGGTGCAGGAGATGCTGGGGCAGGCGCTGGGGAAGATGGAGGCGGCGGGGGGGGAGGAGAATGGGCGGGTGGGGGTGCCGATGGAGTGGTTTTTGCGGAGGCGGATGGGGGATTGTGGATTGTGAGTGTGAGGGGGGGCGGTGAGGGGGTGGACTATGGGGCTAAGGGCTGAGGCTGGGGGCTGAGGGGGGAGAGAGGGAAAGGGTGAGGGGTTGGTTTGTTGGTTTGTTTGTTGGTTGAGCTGCTGCTTTTGAGTTGGGTTCTCACACTTGGGAGACGGGAAATGGGTGGCATAGGGCTGGATGAAGATTGTATACCCAGGGACTGGGGCACCCAGGAGGGATAATACAAACTGGCTAGGTAATGTAATGTATCATCAGAGGGAGGGTAAGGAGAAAAGGGGTACACTAGACCTGCGAGGGAACCTAGGGAAGCCCAGAAAATGTGTCTCAAAACAAATCGTATACTCTGTCAAGTACATCCATCCATCCACCACTAAACTGTTTACAAGTAGGCCCC